GTGAAAGATTATTTCAATTACCCGACCACATAAATGTTCACTGCTTTTCATCTATACTAAATGTGGTTAAAGTGTACAAATAATTTTTCTAGCCACGTATCGACTCTTGTTTTTTGTCTGTTTGTTAACACAGTTCAACTGGCAACGACTCATTTGTCAATAACCCCAATACAATCATTCATCGCATCATAGCTTCCCACTAAAAAGAGGAATTTCTGCCTGTAAGAAGTGAAGGGCGTGCATTTCCTTGTAAACTCAGCAGCCAGGGACTCCTTCAGTTTGGGTCTAAATGCTGCCTACTTTGGACTGAGTTGAAAAGAAAGTTGAGGGCACACAAGCTCTAAAAATGAGGAATGGCATAGATTCCTGTCTGAAGATAAATAAATTTTATAGACGCTTGAAGCAGAACGAACGAAAACGGATTTATATGGCTTACACTTCATAAAACCAGCATCCTAAATAAGTTCCCTAATTCGAAGCTGCTCACAGCTGTTCCCACACTCAGCTAGAAAGATGACGGCCAATCTCGATTTATGCTGTGGAAATTCGAAATAATGACATCAATTCCGAACAAGGATATATTTTATCTCCGACCGAAGCGAGAATTAAGTGGCAGCGTTTAACTAACACGCTAAGAGTGATAGTAGACTTGCAGTTCATACGTACACAGACACATATATTTGCTGTTTTTTGTTTAAGAATGATGTGTTGATGTGCACCAAGATCGGCAGGAATTTGATCTAGGATTCATGTCATCTATAGCGACCAACGTGACTAAGAAATGTTATGCCTTAAATTCGTGAGCTGACAAAACCACGCTTGTCCTTTCTCTTGATGAAGACTTGTAGAGAATGAGATGCTTTGAACACAAGCAAATCGAGTCATAATTTCAACCTCAGAGAAATGACCATCTTCTGAAGCCCATGATGATGGCGTTTACTCACAAGAATTCGCCGTCTTTCAAAGTGACGGACTACCTTACACAGGTAGCAGCTTTTTCGGTTTTGTAAAGTAATCTTTGTATGAAACAGCCATCTAAATCGTAGAACATAAAAGTGGTGCATGTGAAGTGATGGGTCGCCAATTCAAAGGAGAAGAGACAAGACACCAATATGGTTGTAATGTATTGTAGCCATGACTGCGAAGCAGGAGACCTCCTCCTGAACAAGCAGATATAGATTCCCAGTTGTACGGGACTTCAGTGCACCAGCGATCGTTTGGGATATCCTAATCGCAGGCACATCAACCACCAAATGCGATCACAAATCGAAAGTAACCTCAGCTTTCTTGGCTTCTACACAGTACATTAGGGCAGTTAGCCAATAAAACTGAAGATACGCTCCTCAGTTTTCGACTCATTATTCTCTAACCGTTGACGGCATAAATTTTACCCGAGACCCTGCGATCGTCGGTAGAATTGGTCATCATGAGACCATCCTCAAATTCACAGTTGGTGTGTGTTGCCAGGCTGACAGTTTAACCCAACCTAATTTGTGAAAGATGAATATTACAGTTATTTATTCAGCACCATCTTCCGAGAACTGGATCTTCGATCAATAAACACCAGTTGTAACTGCATAGTATTGTTAAAGACAGTTGCGTACCAGTATAAATCGGTTATTTATTGTCAAAACGGTCCCGATCATCAAAAAATCCCCAGTATAACTCAAAAGCCATTTGAACAAAGGATATTCTGCTCGACAACTTTTCCTTCAGGTCCTACAGTTATGTGTACACATTAGGGACTCAGACATCAACGATATGGATATATCGCTTGCCATTTTGTTAAAAACAGTATGCACTTCAAGAAGACAATTCAGACAAGTCTTGTGTGAACATCAATCAGAGAACCAATCCTTACTGAAATTCAACTCAAAATAATTGATTATCTAAACCATTATACAGCTTGGGTGATCTTATAAAGTGATTGCCTAATAAAGCAATAGGAGGGTGTCTTCTATCGTGTGCCATGTTCCCATCAACCTGCCAAAATCTGGCCGGCTCCGAATCTTTCAGATTGTAGAAGCGCTAGTAATCCGGATCAAACACTCGGAATTATGTATTCAGAAAAAATAAGCATTGCAATTACATCAACCGTGGCCCGATTTGGGACGCACAAATTCCCTAGCAACATACACCATATAATCCAACCTTGTAATTCCACACAGCAGATATCTTCCCATCCCTACAATTTGAAATGATTACAGCACATTCACTCAATCCATCATGTTCCTCAACATCAGCAACATTGTACCAAGCTATTACTCCTCAAATTATCTGCCTTAGTTTTCCTAATCTAATTCACGTAAACATCTTTCCACTGCGACAGTAAACTATCACCCCACAACACTACCTACGCCATACAATGGTTTAGTCTGTCAGTTATTTTATTTGAATTCCAATAACAATTGGTTCCACGATTGATGTTGACACAAGACTAATCCTAATTGTCTTCTTAGAGTGCATGGTATTCTTAACAAACTGGCATGCGAAATCTCCATAGTGCTGTCGCCTAGGTCCCCAATGTGTACTACACAACTGTAAGAGCTGAAGGAAAGGTTGTAGAACAGGATGTTCTTTGTTGATTCAAATATCTTAGCTTTCTCGAAAGGGCCAAAAAAGTGTCATCTGTGCAGGAATCATGATATCCAAACTTTGTTGCGTCCCAAAAAGACACTATAGTCAAGTCACTAAGCGTAGAAATATAGAGGGAGGGAAGCAGTAAAATCTAGGCACAAAACATGTATTGTCACAAATCCTCGTCCTTATAGCTGCTGCCAGGCCCATCTCATATATTTTTTACCAGGACATGAAGACATATTCTTGTCGCCTGTGGATTAGTGTATAAAAAAACTGCATTTTATCCCATTCACATCAGTAGGAGCCAGCAAACTAATTTACGCCGACAGGGAAAGAGGACCATGACAGGGGATTTTCCCTATGTCTCTCTCTCCCCATGAAGTTCCAATCAATACAACGTTGACACAAATAGCACAGACATCCAACATAATAGAATTTTCGGACATCGATTACAACGATATGTTTGGTGTTGTAGGTGGTGAAAGCAACGTGACCGGTTGAGTTACATCTAGAACTTCTTAAACTGCTAGCAACCTACGAAGCCGAAGTGTCAAATTCCATTTGCATGATCTCCATCATTTATAGCTTGCGACTGAAAGGACCCCATAGTCCCACCCGTCGAAGCACACGCCGATGACCCCGGCTGATACCAACGTCAGAGTCTTCAAAAGAGCGACCAAGAGAGCCATCATGACTCTCAGGAAAGGTGACACCTTACCTCTAAGTCCGCAGCATGGCTTTCGCATTGGTTTTCGATTGTTGATACACCTTACACTCACAGAGTCTGGAGATGACCGAAAGTTTATAGATGTTATCTTCGTAGACCTTAAGAGGGTGTTTTTTGAACAGCTCGCCCTACATTGCCGATGAGACTAGAAAGTCTCGGAATCCTTCGCAGTCTACTTTCGCGAGACAGTTCCTCGTTACTAGGAGATAGATAGTAAAGATTAATTTCCAACTCTTCTTGAAATTTGATACAGAGTGGGGCGCCGCAATGCAGCTTTAGGTCCTTTGCTGTTTCTTCTTTACACAAATGAGCTACTGAGCCTGGTGCAACCTGTAAACTTCCATGCTGGTGGTGTAGAACTACGGGGAGAATTTAATCATGATCTACGTGAGATTCATACGGTCCTAAACAATTTGCAAAGGTTGTCATAGGATTAGTTGATACCTGTCAACTCAGATAAATGCACAGTCATGAAAATACGATGTGCAGATGGTAACACTCATGACATCTGTGGTATTTTTCTACCCTCGGTACTGGTCCGAGGACACTTAAAGGTCAGACTAAGTAGTGATTTGGGAACCAAAGAGAAGATCGAAGCCTCAAGACACTTCGTGAGTTATGTAGAACACTTAATACGATCAGTGATAACACACTCATAGCTTAGCAAGCAGGCTTAGTCAGATCCAATCTGGAGAACCATGCACAACCAGTGGGGTCTTGCATGAAGGGTAACTCGTATCTTCTGAAAGGAGTTCCAACAATGACCAATCGCGTGAGCCTTGTGATAGTTAACCTAAACCATGATAGACGAATTCAACCAAGCTATTCCGTACGCTGCGGTCACTCCTTAGGGGCTTTCAGTGCTTTGATGGAAAGACATTCGGATACTTTATCTTACTTGTTCAAGACCTCATCTGGAATGCTGCGCACAGGCGGCTAGCTCTTGGCTTAAACAAGAAACAAACAAACCCGAACAAGTATACAGGGTGGGTACGAAAATAGTGATAAAACTTTGCTATCTTCCCCAAGAAGAGCAGCTGGAAAGTCCGAATCATTTCCCATTATCGGATCATGGGAAGAGAGGATATCTCATGCAACCATATTGTATCATGAATAATTGACTGGATGTTGATCTCCCTAGCATTCCTAATCGTTTTAACACTGATTACCTGAGAGATCACAAGTAAGCTCAAAAGCCACGGTCGAATAAACTACGTGTGAAACTCAAATTCCCTCACAGAGTGGTCAAAGATTTGAGCTTGTTACAGGAACTCGTGGTAGCTGCCACTTCGGAGAAAGCTTTCACAGAGGTTTCTGCCACCAGGATTAATACACGCTACTCGGCCTACTGTCTCTAAACCCGAAACTGAAATTGGAGGAGGCGGACACCTTCTCTTTACCACGGGAAAGTAACTCAATGATGCTATTCGCGAATTTAAGGAGTGATTTTGGACTTAGTATCCTTTCCTCTTCCCCCCTAGGTTCGAATATCTCAGGTGACAAAGTAGTGCGGCACGAAATCCAGAGATGGGAGTTTTAGCCATGAAACACTGGTACTCACATCAGAGAGTCAACTGTTAGGAGGGATTTTCAAGAGGAACCTATTCTACATTATCCACCCATACTTTCAAAAGGGCGGTAGGAAGATGCAGTAACCTGTCAGGAAAATAATAACATGATCTCATAACCTTCTATCCTCTAATCAAAATCTCGACCCTAGATAGCCCTTATTTCGATACAACGCGGTATCAGAATATATGAAACTAGGTCATAGGCGGCAGCTTTCTTTTGTAGAAGATAACTATTTGGGCACGGAAACGCAGAATGTATTATCACGTGAAAATAGTTTGATATCAAGATTCACATATTCCAAAATGAAATAATGATTTTTGGCTCGTAACTAGAAAACAATGAGACAGAATATATTACCTCCTCATTGTATATCTCCAAGTATGAAACGCGAACTAAAAATCTTGTATTCGTGTCAGCCTTTGCGATTGCCCCAAATATATGTGCAAATGAATTCGGTATTATGCCCCTCAGTTCCGGTACAGATCGAACCCCTTCCATTGTAAATGTTTTTCCTGTTCCTGTTTGGCCGTAGGCAAATATAGTTCCTTTTTAATTTTCGATAGAAAGAACGGTCATTATTCAAAACATTACCATTATAGCCCTCCAGCACTTTTTCAACTATTGGTCTAGCTACCCTGTTATATATGTCAGTTTGCTTGCTGTTGCAGCCAAATACAAAATCAAATATAAAACACTTTGGAGGATCATCACCAGAATCACTGCGTTTCAAGGTTACACATCCATCTAGTTCACTGATCTGCATGGTCTCATAAGTTAGTTAATGACGCTCAACTCAAACTATTACCGTAGTCACTGTCCTATAGTTCATTGAAACTTCTTTCTCACTCATAGGTCGACATCTCACAGCAACCTTAACATTGTCTGTTTCTTCCAGCGCCTGCATTGTTTAAACACAAAACGCCAGACTAAACAGAACCGAATATACGCGGGAAACGTAACCCTAGTATTGTTGATTGAAACAACTACACAAAGATACAATCCAGTTTTTATGACTTGTTGAGAGCAAACAATTTTTTTGATGTTGTCCAGGGAAATGTGCCAATCGCCCAGAAGATCTAAACGCGAACTTTACACTGGCCTGTTTTAGCACAGGATGGTAGTTTGAGTTGCTTTGTGAGTGAACCTCTCGGCCGAGTAAAGACGATTCGCTAACACTTGTTGGTTATTCGAGCAATAGTCGTTGAACTGTTGCGACTGCATATTGTGTTTGTTTCTTCAGTTTGAAAATGTTCGATCATCTACGGTCTGGCTGGATAATAAATTGACATCATAGATCTTACGTTCTTCCTACAAGATAGTGCAATCCACTTTGGTCATTCGCACTTGCTTCTATGCGTTTTGTTGGATTCCAACACAGTGTACCGATCCTATGGCCTCCTACGAACCCGGTAAATCCGTCAGATGCTTGACTGTTGGTCTGACTTGAGTGGAAGTTAAGTGTTTGTCCAACAACAGTGTTGCTGCTCAGGCCGACGAATATCGCCACTAGACCTGTAAGTTGTTTGGAACGGAACAAGAAGAGTTGGCTATTAACGGAGCTGTTATAAGGAAGTGGCAAACGTAGGCCACACTATTGTGAAAGCAATAGCAATATCCCATGAGTTAGCTCCTGAGTGTATAAACTAGAATTTGGTAACCCTCTGCGGATTTTATTCAGACCGAGCTGCAGTGATCTCAGTGGGAATGACGGTAGCGATCAGCTTGATAGCTGAATAGAGCAAAAGCCAATTGTTTTTTTAATCCATCTTTTCCATATTTGCCTAACCCCATCGAATGCAACCCGCGCGTCACCGGTAATTCATGGGACGATGTTGTGAGGCTTTGCACGACTCAGGCGGTTAACAAGTTGGCTGGTAGTGCAGTCTTACTTTTATTCAGTTATTGTTTTAGCATGGGAAGCCTCCATCGACGTTAAATCAGGGTTCTGGAGTCCTGCAAAGGTTAAGCTGTCTGACTTTTAGAAGTTACCACCACAAAACGATATTCTCCGGGTTTCTATTCTGATTAATTTTGCTAATCAATTGCGATGGGCGAAGTTTGGTAATTTTCATCACTTCGAATGGTATTTAGTGGCTGATTAAGAATTTGTCACCACTGAAAATGTTGTTCTACCCTGACAAAGGCAAGTGTTGCGGGTTTCACACCGTTACTGTTCACTTAAAACAAAACAATGCTATGAGATCGTGGACATCACTATCGACACGAGCTTAGGCCTTTTGATTCTACACCGATGGACGGTCGCAAGAGAATACGTACTGGTACCTTGGGCCTAAATGTAGGCAGTGCGAACCCAATTGCGGCCACAAAATTGGCTTTCGGACCTTTGTTTCTTCACCTCCAAATGGGTCCCTCAGACACCATTGTTGATGTGGAAGGTATACAGATTGAAAACCGGATTTTCCAGATACACTGAAGTGAATAGAAGACAGAAAAAGTTAAGCATCTCATAGATTTGCCAATATCCTACGTTCAATGGCAAAAACAAAGGTATTAGTTCGAATGAATGCTGTAACGGAATCACTGTCTAAGAGTCCTTTCGGGGTAATGGATGTGCTGTTTGTGATGGCTTAAACCACCTTAGTAAATGCGAAGTTCTTTTTAAGGTTACCCCCTTGGAATGACCATTGCTGGAGTAAGGGAAACACATTCCTTTGGATTCTTGAAGAGACAGGTGCGTAAAATTTTGATTTGCAGGGTCATAATTGTGGTACCGGGTTTTACAAGAGGCCCTGTTTATTAGGCAGTAAAAAGAGTGACACATTTCTATCCAGTAATGATGAGATACCAATGCGCATGAGCTTTAGAGCCTGTCCCACAAACGACTTGTTACAGCGCACGGATCCGAATTGTCCGCTCTGTTAGATGAGGGTTTTCTTGCTGCACTCACCTACCTTTGCCCGACGTGTTTGCTTGGTATCAAAGGCCTAAAGGCTGGCTTCCATGCGTAGGCGCTGCATAGTCCCACAAAAACAGTAGGGGGCAAAAAACACCTGTATGCCACCAAGATGTTGCTTGCCAGGACACGGAGAGAGGTAGCAACAGAAAATTGCCTAATGTACATGAGTCGAGGACCCCAGGCAGACTTCTGGGCTGTGCCAGAAGATGTAGTAAGCTGAGTTTAGAAATTTTGGACTCGGCAAGGGGTCTTTCCCGTTTGAAGGTACTAAGACGATTAGGGCGGGAACCATCCGAATACAAAGATGATCATTCCCACAGATCCATTGTAAAGAGTCACACTAGGACACCTTCTCTGCAGGATGAAAGCAAAAGTTGAACACATTTCCAGCCTGAAGCGAACGTCTATGCTGCACCTAGTAATGCTGACGACATATAGGGGGTGGTTAAAATCTACCAGTCCAACTCTTCAATGGGAAACTTAGCTGCGGGATATTTTTACTCCCGTGAGTGCTCAGTACCACTGAGTGAGACTGAAGCTTCTCAAAACAATGTGTTTGGAAGATGCACCGTATTCGTTGTGTACGGAATGGCAACGCAGACATCCAGCTATCCAGAATCCTTAAAGAATGTAACCAGAACTTATTTTTCGACTGTAATTAACACTCTTGAAAAGGCTGCAACCGTTAAACACACTATGGGGGGTGAAGGGATGTTACTAGAGGTAACTTTGATTGAGATGTGGTGGAATTTAAAAGCGAAGGGGTCAGTGAGACGTTTTCTTTCCACATTCATTGTGGTAATCTTCAGGGGCAACAGTGCTGTTTCAAGTTATTTGTCGGGGGGGTTGATCTTTTAGGCTACGCTAGGACCATAGATATTTAATATGATTTAGGGGGTGCTTCGAAGACACACAATGGGCTCTCGTTTGCCCCTAAAAGAAGTTGGAAGGACTCACCTTCAACTTTGCAAATAATATGAAGAAAGTCCTGCCTGGCTCATGGAATCCCACAGGTAGAATGAACTAAAGGGCCCACGCTCAGCGTTTCCTCTTCTCTACTAGGTAGTGATCCTTCAGTGTAACACCTTTCGATTCCTGGACAAATGTCCACGTTCAAATCAGTTCCTCTTGACGACGGTAATAGTATTTATTGGCCACTTTACACATAACGATAATCCTATGGACATCATGCTGCCACGTCCAGTGCTACACACCCCGTTTTAATCAAGGGAAGCCCGGTGGTTTCCTGGCCACCAGATCACACCTTTTAATTCTCGATGCAGTGAAACCCCCCACTAATTAGCGGAGACCTGAACCCTATGGGGAAGGGACAGAGTAAGCAAGGGAGTTGCTTAATGGAGCTAGACCGTAAACCTTAATTAAAATGACTCTGACAAGCTGACTTACTCCCCTTAATGTCCACAAACCTAGATGACAACAGAAATCTTAGTGATGAACTACAAGGGTCCCGCGGTAGTCAGTCCGAGCATATCACAAGGGCAGACCGGTCTGTGCGACCTGCCTCTTCAGCTCTGTTACGGTATCCCAAAGCGAAATGCCTTGGAGATCTAAACGTCTTGATTACAAATACTGCTATCCCCAGGGAAATCAAGAACCCTCAGCCGCCTGGTGCCATGTAGCCTCATGAATCTGCCCCAAGTTGGTTCCTTCCCACAGACATAGGCATAAAAACGCCCCTCGCCCACAACCAGGAGACAAGACGATCTCAGCCAGCCATGATATGGTTCAGCCGTTCAGTTGTAAGAGCACAAGCAAAGCGTACCACCACACACAGCCCAGGCCACCCAGACTGGGGAATACGGTCTCAAGAAATAATGACAGGTTTTTCTCGTCACATCCCACTGTACACTCTCCATCCACCCAGGAATATAGCTGCAGTGCACCACTGACGTACTTTAGTTCACAGCTCAAAGTGAATAAACCAAACCTTCGGCCGTTCAAACTGAGGGACCTCATACCTACCCAGGCCATAACATAAAAGCTGGCGTAAGTAACACCTACTCAGCGTTCTGTGAAGAATCTACGCCCTTAAAGCCCCCAGAAAACCCATATTTTTGGGTTTCACAAAATAATAGCACCTCTAGCCATGCAGATGATGACATACCCAAGTCAGCTGTCATCAGCTAAAACCGGCAGCCAATTCAGTGGCAGGAATACCATGGTGAAACCCTTCCATTTCCCAGGCCAATATATGATCAGTCGTCGTCTGAGGTAACAATGGGTGGTCTGGCATTCAACGCCAAGGAACTTGTCTATATCCCTAAATTTCCCACCCCATATCCCGTTGACCCAAATGACGACTGTGAAAGAACACTTTCATCCCATCTTGTTCATGGCTTAGCCCTTTTATAGCCCCATCAGAACTCTGTTCTCCTGCCTAACTCGCTTTCATTTTGCAATGAGCCAACCGCCTAAAATCTCTAGCCCAATCAATCAAACCATGCTGAATTCTAATCACTGAAACTTGGTGTGCATAGGATACCTCAAGCACCAGGCTTGCGTTGGATGATTGCAATTTGTATCATAGTGACCATAGTACCCCGAAGGGTGCGTGTTGCACCGCCTATGTTTGCTCTGATTTTTCATCTTCGAATGCCTCTCCGTTAGGTCGGGACCTTTTAGATGATGCAGAATTCGTGAATATTAGCACTTGCCGGTATTGTAAAATTACCGTTGGTTGCCTATGTAGGTCACCGCACGCCGGACGTGGCGTTGACGAGCATATCAACATAACATCCAAGCTGCTGCCATCCCTGTCAACTTGCATAGTAGTAGGTGGTGATTTTAATATGCCGGGTATCAAATGGGAGACATTGCAAGGACCATTTCGTTTCAAACCATTTTTCAAACCTTAGAAACCAGCGGATTGGTTCAAGTTGTTAATAGTTGTACTCGACGAAATTATTTACTTGACCTGATTTTTTAAACAACACACCACCGTTCACCATTCATACTAGCAGCGAGTTCCCAGAAAGTGACCGTAAGGTCTGTCAACTCTTTGGACCATGTAGGTGCGCTCCCACATTTCTGAGTCTCACAACACTCTTTCGCAGAAGTTTTGTTGACGTCGATTGTCCAAGCTCGTAATACTTAATACGCTATCCACACCGGGACCAGTACTTTCCATGCTTTGATCTGAGCGACTCTCTTGCAAACTTCTATCTCAGTTCAAACTTTTGTCTCAACTCCGTAGCCCCGTAGAGAGCACAAAAGTTGCATATTAGCATAAAAGGCTACATTCGTATCAGATTCACACGAAAACTAGTATCTGTGCCGTTATCAGTGACCTGGAAGTTCACAGACGAAGACAGCAAGCCCTTACTGAGAATAAAATTCTAAAACATGCAAATAAAACTGGTCCTCTTGCCACTTCTCCTAAAAAGGAACCCTGTAGCAAACATGACATGCTGGATATGTTGAGAGAAAGCAGTAAGACTGTTACAGACTCCATAGAGATACTTGAACTGCTGAGCGAAACGGTTAGCCTTCCCTTCGCTCGCTGCAAATCGCAGCCTTGCAACCCTCAGTGACGCCGGTGCATATAACATCCCGGAATTTGAGTTTACCCTAAGCAACGTGCGTGACGCATTAAACTCACGGAAATCCTTTCTTGGTTGAGGAGTAGATGGGGTACCTGGCATTTTCATCAAAAGTGGCAGCGCCGACTTCTGCAGTTTCATGGAAGACTGGCCGCATTACCTCGTGCTATGAGAAGGGCCCGAGACTCAGTCCGGAAAATTACCGCCCCTTCAACATAACATTTGTCCTTTTGCATGTGACAGAAAGCGTAGTAAAAAAACCCGCCTTTCCCCACCTTTCAGATCACAAACTTATGAACTCCTCGCAGCGTGGATTTCCGTATAGGAAATCTTGTATCACATGCCATCTAGAATTAAAAGTAGAGATGATACAAAAGTGGTTGTCTTGCTTTACTTCGATCTCACCGAAGCTTTTGGCAAGTTGCGTGACTGAGTCGGCTCATTTCTGTTATCAGAACAGGCCAAAACTGTTCCCTTCCCGGAAATATCGTCAGTGGGGTAATTCAAGGCCTCATTGTGGGACCTCTTCTCCTTATAATGTATGTAAATGACTCACATACCTGCTCTCAATCAGGGAAAGCCTTCCTCTTCGCAGATGGCTTGAAAGTAGTGCGCGACTTTCACGTTATCAGTGTAGCAGCATCAATACCAGCATGCAAAATGATCTTGTCAAGCCACAAAGATAGTGTGACACGTGGCTGCCACCCCTGAAAACACAGAAGTCCAGCCTTATGCTCTTCGGTGAACGGAGCGTGGCAACTGATCTTACACTCCAACGGCCAAGTAGTATTTGCGACCTTGGAATAATGTGATCCAGTGGCCTTTCAGTCGCCGTACACTCAAAGGCACAGTGCTCCGAATAGCGCCGCCTTATCAGCTTTACTCACCGAAACTTTTGCCTGAATTAAATCAACCTGGTCCCATATGAGATTGTTGCGGGACCACTACTAGCATTTTGTCCTAACATACCTGTTGTTTGCAGTTTAGTGATAACTGGAAAGTGGAGAAAACTCAACGACGTTTTACCGGACTTATTTCTCCCGTTAAATAATACAGGGGTAGATATCATGCTAATCGATTAGATCCTATGTTGCTAAGGCAAATAAAGCTGAATCCCAGCACTTTCCATAAGGCCGTACACCGTGAAGTGACTACCAATGTGGGTACAGTAAAGTTCGCTGACAAAAAGCTTACGATCCTAGAGACCACGACTGAGCAGCTAAACTATCATATGGGCTCAAACAGCTCAAATATTCATTTTTCTTAACTCGTTACGCTAATATTTGGGACAGATTGCAGCGTGATGTTCGATGCTGCCAGGCCATGTCCCGGTTTGACTCAACCTTGAACCACTAGATCAATGAACTTGAAATCTGCATGATCCCTATGTACCCTACATAGTAGACACCGTGTTCCTTGTTGGCCCACCAGATATCCAGGGTCCAATACGCAACAGTCTGATGCAACCACCTAAGAATATATCATGAGGTGAGTAATTTTTGCTAAATTACATACTATTCTGTGCAAGTTTTTGGTAATTGTGTTTGATGTCAGTTACCGTTCCTAATGGTTTCATAGTTCAGCCGCGCTTATCCCCTCCCCAAATAAACATTCCACCCGCCGTTCTCTTTTCACTTTATACTAGGCTAGGAGTCTGCTCTGTAGAGTAGCACAAGTCAGTTTTGTGTGATAAGTCAGGCTTCACTATGGCATGAGTAGAGGTATAATGGTCATAGGTGCTACCTGATCTGTGATACATACCAAGGGACGATTGAGCCAGTAATGTATACACGATCTTAACCAGCTGAGAGTAAGCCGAAGATACTCCCGTAATCATCAGCTCCGTTGGGTGTAGTACGAGAATATTTAAAACATTAACGTGAAAAGATGCGGAGATGGTCATATCTGGGCAGCAGGCATGATGGCAGGGAGATAAACTCGAAATATCCTTGCCTATGTGACGCCATCTTTATGAAACCTACTGCTCTTTTACTTATGATGACAAAATGGTAATAAAGGAGAATTAGGTTGCTGAAAAATTCGCCATGTATACTACCTCAGCTCACTCTGTACTACCATATTGTCCCTACGGCCTTGATATGATAACACTCAACGGACAACAGCATGATCATCCCTCGCCAATAAGTATATAAAGCGTGGTCACCACTATGGCCAAAAGCATCAGTTCTGCTGGAATGTTTATAACTTCATTTAAGTTTTGTACATAGGCTTTCTGCACATAAGCGGATACCTGGTTCCAGATCCTCAGTTCTTTCTATTCCATAGTGATATCTTCGGCTTCGGTTTTGTTTCCACTACTTTCATGTGCACCTTCGTCTTCTTCCCCGCAAGCTTACCTCCAAACAGTTGGTTTTAAATGCTTCTTGAAGTAACGTTGTAGTCAGCACAATGAACTCACCTACATATATCATGGTTAATATACCTCCGTGTGGTACTTTCGTGCTCCTGTTTCGAGTTTCGCCTTCCACTCACTTTTGTTATTCATTTATCAGGTTTGCATAATTAGTCCCCCATCTTTATGGAATGCCAGTAATCGCATTTGTTGGCGTGCACCATGTCACCAAAACTTTATGAAAAACGCACACAACCCAAGGTCATAGCAGTACTACTCGCCCAACCCCCAGCAATATACGATGGTTCGAACAGTGGCCGAATAATTCCTAAGTTCGAACTGAGCTCGCTTCCTCGTTGTTTGCGAAGCATTAACGTAACTTCTGTGGACGCATCCCTTATGTGCCATGGATAACGGTGTTCAGTGTATAGTTTGACAGTATACAGAGCAGCCAGTTCACATTATCAAAATGATCAAACCTGTAAATTGGTTTTTCGTGAAACTTATGTTGCACAAAAAACATATTATATCATTATTATCGGGACAGGAGAAGAAGCGAACCGATAAGAGTGCAGAAGATCCAACAATGGGTGTATATTTCTAGCAGAAAGTTGCTACAACAGGAGGACAGCATGAAACGCAAAAAACCGCGGACATAAGATCACCAAGCAGCCAGTGCTAGGACTACATCCAAATTCACATCAACATTGGTAAACGCCATAAAACGGCCATAGACAACAGCCTGCGACTAATGTACATCCAGGTAGTAAAGTCAAACGCTATCTCATGGGATATTGCTATTGCTTTCACAATAGTGTGGCCTACGTTTGCCACTTCCTTATAACAGCTCCGTTAATAGCCAACTCTTCTTGTTCCGTTCCAAACAACTTACAGGTCTAGTGGCGATATTCGTCGGCCTGAGCAGCAACACTGTTGTTGGACAAACACTTAACTTCCACTCAAGTCAGACCAACAGTCAAGCATCTGACGGATTTACCGGGTTCGTAGGAGGCCATAGGATCGGTACACTGTGTTGGAATCCAACAAAACGCATAGAAGCAAGTGCGAATGACCAAAGTGGATTGCACTATCTTGTAGGAAGAACGTAAGATCTATGATGTCAATTTATTATCCAGCCAGACCGTAGATGATCGAACATTTTCAAACTGAAGAAACAAACACAATATGCAGTCGCAACAGTTCAACGACTATTGCTCGAATAACCAACAAGTGTTAGCGAATCGTCTTTACTCGGCCGAGAGGTTCACTCACAAAGCAACTCAAACTACCATCCTGTGCTAAAACAGGCCAGTGTAAAGTTCGCGTTTAGATCTTCTGGGCGATTGGCACATTTCCCTGGACAACATCAAAAAAATTGTTTGCTCTCAACAAGTCATAAAAACTGGATTGTATCTTTGTGTAGTTGTTTCAATCAACAATACTAGGGTTACGTTTCCCGCGTATATTCGGTTCTGTTTAGTCTGGCGTTTTGTGTTTAAACAATGCAGGCGCTGGAAGAAACAGACAATGTTAAGGTTGCTGTGAGATGTCGACCTATGAGTGAGAAAGAAGTTTCAATGAACTATAGGACAGTGACTACGGTAATAGTTTGAGTTGAGCGTCATTAACTAACTTATGAGACCATGCAGATCAGTGAACTAGATGGATGTGTAACCTTGAAACGCAGTGATTCTGGTGATGATCCTCCAAAGTGTTTTATATTTGATTTTGTATTTGGCTGCAACAGCAAGCAAACTGACATATATAACAGGGTAGCTAGACCAATAGTTGAAAAAGTGCTGGAGGGCTATAATGGTAATGTTTTGAATAATGACCGTTCTTTCTATCGAAAATTAAAAAGGAACTATATTTGCCTACGGCCAAACAGGAACAGGAAAAACATTTACAATGGAAGGGGTTCGATCTGTACCGGAACTGAGGGGCATAATACCGAATTCATTTGCACATATATTTGGGGCAATCGCAAAGGCTGACACGAATACAAGATTTTTAGTTCGCGTTTCATACTTGGAGATATACAATGAGGAGGTAATATATTCTGTCTCATTGTTTTCTAGTTACGAGCCAAAAATCATTATTTCATTTTGGAATATGTGAATCTTGATATCAAACTATTTTCACGTGATAATACATTCTGCGTTTCCGTGCCCAAATAGTTATCTTCTACAAAAGAAAGCTGCCGCCTATGACCTAGTTTCATATATTCTGATACCGCGTTGTATCGAAATAAGGGCTATCTAGGGTCGAGATTTTGATTAGAGGATAGAAGGTTATGAGATCATGTTATTATTTTCCTGACAGGTTACTGCATCTTCCTACCGCCCTTTTGAAAGTATGGGTGGATAATGTAGAATAGGTTCCTCTTGAAAATCCCTCCTAACAGTTGACTCTCTGATGTGAGTACCAGTGTTTCATGGCTAAAACTCCCATCTCTGGATTTCGTGCCGCACTACTTTGTCACCTGAGATATTCGAACCTAGGGGGAAGAGGAAAGGATACTAAGTCCAAAATCACTCCTTAAATTCGCGAATAGCATCATTGAGTTACTTTCCCGTGGTAAAGAGAAGGTGTCCGCCTCCTCCAATTTCAGTTTCGGGTTTAGAGACAGTAGGCCGAGTAGCGTGTATTAATCCTGGTGGCAGAAACCTCTGTGAAAGCTTTCTCCGAAGTGGCAGCTACCACGAGTTCCTGTAACAAGCTCAAATCTTTGACCACTCTGTGAGGGAATTTGAGTTTCACACGTAGTTTATTCGACCGTGGCTTTTGAGCTTACTTGTGATCTCTCAGGTAATCAGTGTTAAAACGATTAGGAATGCTAGGGAGATCAACATCCAGTCAATTATTCATGATACAATATGGTTGCATGAGATATCCTCTCTTCCCATGATCCGATAATGGGAAATGATTCGGACTTTCCAGCTGCTCTTCTTGGGGAAGATAGCAAAGTTTTATCACTATTTTCGTACCCACCCTGTATACTTGTTCGGGTTTGTTTGTTTCTTGTTTAAGCCAAGAGCTAGCCGCCTGTGCGCAGCATTCCAGATGAGGTCTTGAACAAGTAAGATAAAGTATCCGAATGTCTTTCCATCAAAGCACTGAAAGCCCCTAAGGAGTGACCGCAGCGTACGGAATAGCTTGGTTGAATTCGTCTATCATGGTTTAGGTTAACTATCACAAGGCTCACGCGATTGGTCATTGTTGGAACTCCTTTCAGAAGATACGAGTTACCCTTCATGCAAGACCCCACTGGTTGTGCATGGTTCTCCAGATTGGATCTGACTAAGCCTGCTTGCTAAGCTATGAGTGTGTTATCACTGATCGTATTAAGTGTTCTACATAACTCACGAAGTGTCTTGAGGCTTCGATCTTCTCTTTGGTTCCCAAATCACTACTTAGTCTGACCTTTAAGTGTCCTCGGACCAGTACCGAGGGTAGAAAAATACCACAGATGTCATGAGTGTTACCATCTGCACATCGTATTTTCATGACTGTGCATTTATCTGAGTTGACAGGTATCAACTAATCCTATGACAACCTTTGCAAATTGTTTAGGACCGTATGAATCTCACGTAGATCATGATTAAATTCTCCCCGTAGTTCTACACCACCAGCATGGAAGTTTACAGGTTGCACCAGGCTCAGTAGCTCATTTGTGTAAAGAAGAAACAGCAAAGGACCTAAAGCTGCATTGCGGCGCCCCACTCTGTATCAAATTTCAAGAAGAGTTGGAAATTAATCTTTACTATCTATCTCCTAGTAACGAGGAACTGTCTCGCGAAAGTAGACTGCGAAGGATTCCGAGACTTTCTAGTCTCATCGGCAATGTAGGGCGAGCTGTTCAAAAAACACCCTCTTAAGGTCTACGAAGATAACATCTATAAACTTTCGGTCATCTCCAGACTCTGTGAGTGTAAGGTGTATCAACAATCGAAAACCAATGCGAAAGCCATGCTGCGGACTTAGAGGTAAGGTGTCACCTTTCCTGAGAGTCATGATGGCTCTCTTGGTCGCTCTTTTGAAGACTCTGACGTTGGTATCAGCCGGGGTCATCGGCGTGTGCTTCGACGGGTGGGACTATGGGGTCCTTTCAGTCGCAAGCTATAAATGATGGAGATCATGCAAATGGAATTTGACACTTCGGCTTCGTAGGTTGCTAGCAGTTTAAGAAGTTCTAGATGTAACTCAACCGGTCACGTTGCTTTCACCACCTACAACACCAAACATATCGTTGTAATCGATGTCCGAAAATTCTATTATGTTGGATGTCTGTGCTATTTGTGTCAACGTTGTATTGATTGGAACTTCATGGGGAGAGAGAGACATAGGGAAAATCCCCTGTCATGGTCCTCTTTCCCTGTCGGCGTAAATTAGTTTGCTGGCTCCTACTGATGTGAATGGGATAAAATGCAGTTTTTTTATACACTAATCCACAGGCGACAAGAATATGTCTTCATGTCCTGGTAAAAAATATATGAGATGGGCCTGGCAGCAGCTATAAGGACGAGGATTTGTGACAATACATGTTTTGTGCCTAGATTTTACTGCTTCCCTCCCTCTATATTTCTACGCTTAGTGACTTGACTATAGTGTCTTTTTGGGACGCAACAAAGTTTGGATATCATGATTCCTGCACAGATGACACTTTTTTGGCCCTTTCGAGAAAGCTAAGATATTTGAATCAACAAAGAACATCCTGTTCTACAACCTTTCCTTCAGCTCTTACAGTTGTGTAGTACACATTGGGGACCTAGGCGACAGCACTATGGAGATTTCGCATGCCAGTTTGTTAAGAATACCATGCACTCTAAGAAGACAATTAGGATTAGTCTTGTGTGAACATCAATCGTGGAACCAATTGTTATTGGAATTCAAATAAAATAACTGACAGACTAAACCATTGTATGGCGTAGGTAGTGTTGTGGGGTGATAGTTTACTGTCGCAGTGGAAAGATGTTTACGTGAATTAGATTAGGAAAACTAAGGCAGATAATTTGAGGAGTAATAGCTTGGTACAATGTTGCTGATGTTGAGGAACATGATGGATTGAGTGAATGTGCTGTAATCATTTCAAATTGTAGGGATGGGAAGATATCTGCTGTGTGGAATTACAAGGTTGGATTATATGGTGTATGTTGCTAGGGAATTTGTGCGTCCCAAATCGGGCCACGGTTGATGTAATTGCAATGCTTACTTTTTCTGAATACATAATTCCGAGTGTTTGATCCGGATTACTAGCGCTTCTACAATCTGAAAGATTCGGAGCCGGCCAGATTTTGGCAGGTTGATGGGAACATGGCACACGATAGAAGACACCCTCCTATTGCTTTATTAGGCAATCACTTTATAAGATCACCCAAGCTGTATAATGGTTTAGATAATCAATTATTTTGAGTTGAATTTCAGTAAGGATTGGTTCTCTGATTGATGTTCACACAAGACTTGTCTGAATTGTCTTCTTGAAGTGCATACTGTTTTTAACAAAATGGCAAGCGATATATCCATATCGTTGATGTCTGAGTCCCTAATGTGTACACATAACTGTAGGACCTGAAGGAAAAGTTGTCGAGCAGAATATCCTTTGTTCAAATGGCTTTTGAGTTATACTGGGGATTTTTTGATGATCGGGACCGTTTTGACAATAAATAACCGATTTATACTGGTACGCAACTGTCTTTAACAATACTATGCAGTTACAACTGGTGTTTATTGATCGAAGATCCAGTTCTCGGAAGATGGTGCTGAATAAATAACTGTAATATTCATCTTTCACAAATTAGGTTGGGTTAAACTGTCAGCCTGGCAACACACACCAACTGTGAATTTGAGGATGGTCTCATGATGACCAATTCTACCGACGATCGCAGGGTCTCGGGTAAAATTTATGCCGTCAACGGTTAGAGAATAATGAGTCGAAAACTGAGGAGCGTATCTTCAGTTTTATTGGCTAACTGCCCTAATGTACTGTGTAGAAGCCAAGAAAGCTGAGGTTACTTTCGATTTGTGATCGCATTTGGTGGTTGATGTGCCTGCGATTAGGATATCCCAAACGATCGCTGGTGCACTGAAGTCCCGTACAACTGGGAATCTATATCTGCTTGTTCAGGAGGAGGTCTCCTGCTTCGCAGTCATGGCTACAATACATTACAACCATATTGGTGTCTTGTCTCTTCTCCTTTGAATTGGCGACCCATCACTTCACATACACCACTTTTATGTTCTACGATTTAGATGGCTGTTTCATACAAAGATTACTTTACAAAACCGAAAAAGCTGCTACCTGTGTAAGGTAGTCCGTCACTTTGAAAGACGGCGAATTCTTGTGAGTAAATGCCATCATCATGGGCTTCAGAAGATGGTCATTTCTCTGAGGTTGAAATTATGACTCGATTTGCTTGTGTTTAAAGCATCTCATTCTCTACAAGTCTTCATCAAGAGAAAGGACAAGCGTGGTTTTGTCAGCTCACGAATTTAAGGCATAACATTTCTTAGTCACGTTAGTCTTCACCCTGCAACCCTAACCGTATTTTAACCTTTAAGGCTAGTTGCGATTTCGCAAAATAATCTCAATTGGTACTCTTAAGAATTCGGTTCATTGGAAAAGGTTGGTTTAAGATTGTTACGGGTTTATTTCTTCACCAAAATGTAGCGATATAAAAATGTATTAATTACTTCAGTATGTATTTTAACTTGAGAAGTATGCTTAGGTTCTTTGAAGCTAGTCGTCTTATGTTACAGTAAATTCCATCATAATTCGTTGATTGACTGATCTTTTCATATAGAAAATGATAAAATATCTATATGCTTGGATAGTGTCTGGCACTGGAATCCAAGACGCCTGTTCCTTTTTATTTGAATTTCATCGGCTGGATATAAGTCTTTCCGAGTGAGCGATGTTTCTCCCACCGAGAGCCAAACCCTGGACCGATCACTTCGAATGCCACAGCGTTATCCACTGGGTCAACAGTCACTCATTGTGTAATGGGTATAGATCTTATGCTATTGCTTGTAATTTATATATATATATATATATATATATATATATATATATATATATATATATATATATATATATATATATAATTTGTCCCTTGTGTTCTTAGTAGAACATAGGGCTTCAGTAGCACGTTTCGATTCCACTCTCTTCTCTGCAATCTTTTGGACCTGACTCCACGACAGCCCACAAACTCTCATTTCTTCCCCACACGATCTCCTCCATGCCACCCTCACCTCGGACACCCAACTCGCCGTTTCCCATCTGGATTCCACACGAGTGCCTGGTGTGTGATGTCTCCGAATGGTCTTCTCAGTGCATGCCCAATCCATCACCACTTCCTTCTGCATATTTGTTGAGCGATAGGTTGTTGGTTGGTTCGTTGACAGCCAGAGTTCCTTGTTGTTTATTCTCTCTGGCCATCTGATGTGATCTTCAGTATTGAGTGAGCGTAGGCAGTTGTTGATGAATGTCTGTAGTTTGTTGGAAATGCTTTTCGTAAGGTGCCAATTCCCTGAACCATATGGAGCACTGACTTGACTGACGTTGATGTTGAAAATCCGTATGTTGTTGATGCTTTATGCTGAGTGCAGTGCAGAACATCTCCACACTGGTTTCAAGTTAATGAAAGCATTTCATAAACATGCTTCGAAAATCTATTATGAATGCTTTTGTGATGAACTCAATACACTTTCATTTGATTTGATTCATCTAATACCAGGTGAGAGATCTACTTGGAAAGGATAAAACAGCAAGTTTAGATGTCAAAGAGAGACCAGATATTGGTGTATATGTTAAAGATCTTTCATCATTTGTTGTACACTCACCGAATGAAATGGACAAATTAATGTCATTTGGAAATAAAAATCGTAAGACTTTTACTACAGTATATGTTCTTATTATAATTTTATTGATTAATTACTCAATATGGGTGGGTGAGGCTAAAAGTTATCTCCTGGTGTTATCCTGCTTGTTATAGGATATAGCGTTCCGTGCTCAAATTTGCATATTTCTTTATACTGTGTGCTTATTTTACCTATTTGTGTAGTTTTTATAACGTTATCTGTCATTATATCATTTTTCATGCTGTTTATTCATGTGAAAAACCTCACTTTCACCTCCTAGTTGGGATTTAAGTACGTTTATTTATAAAGAATAATGCTCACAAATCAAAGTAAGTTAAATAAGCTTTCAAATTGCAGCAGAAAAGATTCACGATTTGAGTTTCCATTTCAAAATATATGTTTACTGAACACAGTATACTATAACACCTGGAGATGACTTTTAGCCTCATCCTCTCAATACTTTAGAGATCTTTATCAGTTAAAAGTATTTCTCTCTCACCTGACTAAAATAAGCATATATAGTTGGTTCAGGTCACTAGATCAACAGATAATCATTTCGCTAACCTGAGGGCAGCTAGTTTCGAAGTTATAGCTTGTAAATCTCTATCGTTGCTTGAACCGAAGTGATCGACCACTACTGACATATCGGCTCCTGTGCATGTACCTCAATATTGCTGGTACTTTGAGTTTCCATATAAATGATGAATAGTGGCTAGCAGTGGGTTCGAGAATGCACGTTTCGTTCAGTTCGGGACTCATCATCTGGAGTGGCTACCATAACTAAGTGGCCTGGTGAAAAAAGCCCTAACGTTTGGATGAATTGGTCCGGATAGCTAATTGAAACCCTATAATAAACAAGGTTTCCTTTTCACACCAAGTAAACGAAATTTGTTCCATAAAAATTGTCTCTGATAGTCTGACTTGAAAGTTATCTTCTTTAATACCATTCATCAAATCAGCTCTTAGTATTGTAAATTCTGACTATCAGAGAAGCACTATGAACCATTGGAGGTTCTCTTTTAAACAACGCCAGTTTGGAGAACACTTCTACGTCAACATCAACACTCTGAGCTACAAATATTCTTTAACCAACCAAATTGCAACAGAACTATAGTGTGATTTAGTGACTAGTAGAGGAATGCAGGATGCATGTTTCGTCCTATTTAGGACTCGTCATCTGGATGTACCTACACTCCAGTGAGTGATGTTGTTCCCACTGAGACTCAAAACCAGGACTAATCGCTTCAAGTGCCAAAAAGCTGGTCAATTCGATTCTGTATGTTAATAGGGAATTACAAGTGTCGAAAAACAGGTTTGATATAATTCATCTAAAGTTCTATGACGTCTGAAAATTGAAGTAGAAAAACATAGCTCTGTCTATTAATTTTCTTGAACGCACTTGTATCCGGTAAGTGTACAACAATAAAGCTACCAGTGTAGTCTAGTTTCTTAATGCATAATTTACTTAAGATATACCTATGTAGCTGAATTATACAATATCTTTCCATACAATTAATCTGTCGGATAAATATGAGTCAGTAGATGTAAGTTTAAATGGAATAAGGTTTCTATTGTTGTGATGAAGACTAGATTTTCCATAAAAGAATGAATGTGGCTGTATCATACATTTAATGGTAAACTTGACATTCGTTTGTGTCTCATGTTAAAGACATCAAGGAAATTTTAACATCACTTATATCATCAAATAGGATATAACTGTATTATTAACATACTTGTTATTTACTGAAGCTTATTTATTCCTTCCTAGTTCTGGAATAAATGTGTCCATAAGAAGAGGTTCATTAGAATTTCTTATTCTCACTTCATAAATCTAACACGATATTGTGTTGCTGAATAGACAGTGTACAAAAAAAAGACATTTTCAGTTGTCTTCAGCATACATAACTCATCTCAGTTGTAATAATCACTATCCATTGTTTTCTCTAGTGGCTTATTTATAAACAAGATTAATAATTATATTAATGATAGGTAGTGGCTAGTAGTGGAATCCAGAACGCACGTTCCGTCCTATTTGGGACTCGCTAGCTGGATGTAGCTGCATCCTAGTGAGTGATGTTGTCCCCACCGGGACTTGAACTCGACACCGATTGCTTCATACGCTCGGTGGTCTAGTGGACAACGCTATGGTGTGTGAAGCGATGGGTATGAGTCTTAAGTCTTAGTGGGAATAACATGACTTACTGGGAAGCATATATTTTCAGCTGACAAGTCCCAAATAGGACGAAACGCACATCCTGGATTCCACTGCTAGCCACTATCCATCATTAATATATATATATATATATATATATATATATATATATATATATATATATATATATATATATATATATATATATATATATATAACTCAGACGCAGGCACTATCGAGGCATTCGTCTAGGAGCCCATTTGCCAGTAAGAACCGATCGATTTGATCCAGTCAACGACGGGATAATACAAGCAATAACACTAAGATTGATCTTTCTTAAGATACGATAAACTTACCTTTATTATTGATTTCATCTATCTTGTGTACAAATATTTGGTTCATATAACATTCATAACATCGAATCACTCTAGAATTAAGCCAATTACAGTATGTCATCTTAGATCAATATTGTCTATTTTGCTAAATGAAATCACTACACAAAAATATTACATTCTATCTTAGTATCTAGGTTTCTGTACTTTATTTTTCTATTATTTCATATAAAGGTGTAACTGGTGCAACTAACATGAATGAGCATAGTTCTCGTTCACATGCAATTTATACAGTGACAATTGAATGTAGCGAAAATACAGAAAAGAATAAAACGTTACTTCGCCAAGGAAAATTGCATTTAGTAGATTTAGCTGTAAGTAACCTTGAATAAATTATATTTACTACTTATTTATTATAGAGATATTTAAAAATATTTTCTTGTTAAATTGTACGCTTAATGTTGAGGTAGTATTGATCACGAACTGACATCAATTGGGGAAAAATTGAAAACCTGGGAGCATTGGACAGCTGTTTCGTTCTAGTATGGGACTTCGCAGCAGTACGCACTCACGGCCCCAGGTAAGGATCAAACTCAGGGAGCTCAGGTCTCACAGCGAATGCGTTAACCATTTAGACACCGGTTTTCAATGCTTCCCCAATTGCTTTTAGTCCGTGATGAATACTACCTCAAAATCAAAATCTCCACTCATCTCAAAAATACATTACTGGATAGCGCTCATTATTGACGTGCTTCCAGATGGATATCACGAAGTTCTGGTGAGAAGCCGTAACCTTTGGGGTCGACCAGTTGGAAGGGAAGCGGTTGCTAAGTGAAGACCTTAGATGATAGTCACGCTATATCGCTAAGTGACAGATGTTCGGAACTGTGAACCACTGAACTCTGACTCGGTGGATGAACGGCTAACCCGTCCGCCGCGGAACCTGAAGGTCCTGAGTTCAGTCTCTAACCAGGTCACTGGTGCGTACTGCTGGGGAGTCCCACACCTGTCCAGTGATCGTAGGTTTTCAATGGTTCCCCAACTGATATCAGTCCGTAATGAATTATCATTATTATTATTTGTCCCTTGGGTTCCTAATGGGACATAGGGCTTCAGTAACACGTTTCGATTCCACTCTCTTCTCTGCAATCTTTTGGACCTGACTCCACGACAGCCCACAAACTCTCATTTCTTCCCCACACGATCTCCTCCATGCCACCCTCACCTCGGACACCCAACTCGCCGTTTCCCATCTGGATTCCACACGAGTGCCTGGTGTGTGATGTCTCCGAATGGTCTTCTCAGTGCATGCCCAATCCATCACCACTTCCTTCTGCATATTTGTTGAGCGATAGGTTGTTGGTTGGTTCGTTGACAGCCAGAGTTCCTTGTTGTTTATTCTCTCTGGCCATCTGATGTGATCTTCAGTATTGAGTGAGCGTAGGCAGTTGTTGATGAATGTCTGTAGTTTGTTGGAAATGCTTTTCGTAAGGTGCCAATTCCCTGAACCATATGGAGCACTGACTTGACTGACGTTGATGTTGAAAATCCGTATGTTGTTGATGCTTTATGCTGAGTGCAGTGCAGAACATCTCCACACTGGTTTCAAGCTGATGAACGCCCATATTACTTTTCCGATCAGATATAACCGTTGATACCCCGAAAATAAGGGATTGACATACCCCCTAGACGGCACTTAGTTAGTCTGGAGTACATAGGTGGCATTGTCTTGTTAAGCAAAGACGCTGACAAAATGCAGGGTCTTTTGAATACCTTGGACAGAAATCTAAGTATGTTTAGCACGTCTTATGCAATTGTCAAATGTAATATAATCTTTCAAGACTAGTCTTCATCCACTCTGTTTAACGACTGGGAGTGATGAAGAATAACGCGTTGATCACTTCAGAAGCTGGATTATTCGAAACGTGTTGCTTGGTGATAAAATCTCAGATGAGATACAAAAGGCCCATTCACCACTAGCGCAGGTTGGTGAGAAATTCGATTACCTCTGTCCTATTAAACAGGTATAAAACATGACTATTGAAAGTAGAAGACATGAAGATATTTCAAATAGTTTGACAACAGTTGTTGTTATAGCATTGTTTTTACATATAAAAATTACTATATGAGCGATTTTGAGGTTAGGCACTGAGTATTAAGCAAGAAAAGCAACTCAGTCGATAGAGTTATAAACCTTCATCGACTGAGATGGACTGGACATACGTTACACATGGCATATTTTACGCCAAAAAATTTAACTATCTAGATCATCAAAGAAAACTCTCCGATTTCTACAAGCTCAGAAACTTGAACGAAAGTAATCGGCAAGATCTTTCAGACTGTTGTTTTATTCAAGTCTGATCTTTTTAGAGTTTATACGGTTTATTATTCTTCCAAATACTACAATACGATATGAAGAACATATTTATCGTTTCACTTTGCCTTTTTTACAACATAGTACTCAAGTATTACCATTACCTACTTGATGGTTCCGTCTTCTATTTGTATTTTGACATTTCTTTTGGTTCTAAGATATATATTCAAATCAGTAAAAAGTTATCATGTTGCATCATTGCATTATAAAGTAAAATCTCTAATGTTGCATTTAAATGTCGGAACAATTCTACTACATCAGTTCTCTCAATAATGAAGCAAAGATCGAGGAAGTTAAATTGAAGTAAATAAAAGTGATTTGATCAAAAATCTAGTATTTCAGAAAAGTTAAGAAATAAGCTAAAATATAATTGAGAGATGTTTCAAAAATTGAAACTTCCAGTAACTGAATGACAATTTTTTATAACGTAATAAAACTCAGAAGTAACTTGTAATTTCTTGTACTAATCACCAAGTTTCAATTTTTGAATTATGGGCAGTAGTACTACCTGAATGTTGAAACTTCAGTAGATACAAGGGTTTGAAATCTATTACGCAATGACTGAAAGTTGAATGTTTAAACCTTTCATTGTTTATGTTAATATGAATCATGCGTCAAAATTGTTCAACACCTTCAGTCAAGGTCATCGAAATGTTAATTTTACAATGGAATACAAAGATGAGGACAGAATTTAGATTTTTGGATCAGCATATAAGACGGAGATGTGATGGCACAGTCGAGAAAACCATTTACAGGAAAGACACTTAGATTTGTCAATATCTTCACTTCAATAGTTCCAGTCCTGTCAGCTATAACCGTGGTTTAGTCAGGACGCTATTCACTTGAATGAAAACGCTGTGCTCAAAAGATAAACAAGAATAAGAATTCGGGATAATTGAAAAGGCTCCTATAGAGAATAGATATCTGAAGGAATTCATCGTGAAGCATGGAAAAGAATTTATTGGGGGACCAAAACATCCTACTGCTGAGAAGAAGCCTATTTTCCTTCGCTTAGCATTCAAAGGTGATAAGACATCTGAAAGAATAGACAAATGAATAAAACCTGCAGTAAGAAGGAACTTCCCTGCTGCGAGACTGATTTCAGCTTACAATACAGTATATTCAATAACACAGTCGAAAGTAGGCAAATGCTCAGCTCACATCACCTCCAACTCTGTATATCAATTCACTATTGCTTGTGGAAGCAAGCACGTAGGATGAAGTGAAAGAAGGGTGTCTACTCGGTTTTATGAGCATATTCTGAGAAATCTGTGTCTGACTGGTAGCATGGTCTTTAAGGGCACTATCACAAGGCATCTTATGGAAATAGGACATCAAATAAGTGTTTCTCAGTCCTTCAGGATAGTCAACAAGTAAAGAACACCATCTTTATCACGGATGGCGGAAGTTCTCGCTATCAAACAATTTCCACCTAACCTATGTACTCAGAAGGAGACTGTAATTAACCTTAGTAAATGTACATAGTGTTTGCATGTGTATGTATAGTCTTCCTTTTGATTGCATCATCTCTTCATTAATCACTTACTGACTGTCAATCACTCAATGATTTTCCAGTTTCTCATGTGATTGCGTAATCTATTGGCTGTTAAACAGTGCCTTTTTTAACACTGATTTTTGTTTGTTTTCTCCCACTCCACAACTCCAGAGGTTTCTATCTCATGAGATATAAATACTCATAGATTTTGACTAAGATATGTAACTACTAATCCCTCGTTTCCTTGACTTAATACGTTATTGTTAATCCTGGATTTCAAATTTCTATTTGTTTCTACATATTTAAAGTATATCCTGTTATTATTACTAGTAGTGCTTCGCTTCAATTGTAGGCTGTTTGCAGCTGAAGAAAGGTCGTGAAATAAGATGAACTCGATTTATTCTGCAATTGTTTTTATTCTTCCGTCGTTCAGATTAAACGAAGAAGCTACAGATTGATAAATAACTTCGTCAAACGCCACTATCAGTCAGACAGGTCAATATCAACCATAGACCTTGGATTACTAGATAACCTTCCATGTTGCCCCATATCTTATATTTTTGCATGAAGGTAAAACGTATCAAGATGAAGGATAGAGAAATAGGGAAGAAATTAATTCATTGATGGAAAGTCATGAAAAGAGAATAAAGAGGGAATTAAATAATAATGAAATTTGATGTGACATTTAACATGAAAATATTGTTTGAATGTTTCTACGCTACTGTCAGGTATTACGGGACAAGAGTTAATCTAATTCATATAAAAATGCACAAACTAGTGATCGATTGTAAATCATCAAATTGACATAGCAAAAGAATTGTAAAGAAAATTGATTATTAGTAAAACTGGCATCCATATACACTTCAATTATTATTAACTTTTCTATACAATGTATCTTTAATTAAAATTTTAGGGGTCTGAAAGACAAGCTAAAACTGGTGCAACAGGAAAACGTCTTCAAGAAGCCAATAAAATTAATTTATCATTAACAACTTTGGGTAACGTTATTTCTGCTCTAGTTGACGGTAAATCAACACATGTACCATATCGTAATTCAAAATTAACTCGGTTATTACAAGATTCATTAGGTGGAAATTCTAAAACTGCTATGGTAAGATTATTTATCATATGTGTACAGATGTAGACAATGCACTTACTATATTATTCTAATCGGCTAGATCAGTTAATTATATGATAAAATAATGTTAGACAATTTACAGAAATGATTCATTGGGAGCGCTAAACAGCTGATTTGTTCAATCGTAGATGTGTACTGCTGAGGAGTCACACACTAGGACGAAACAGCTATCCAATGCTTTTAAGTTTTCAATGATTCTTCAACTAATGTCATTTCATGATGAATATTACCTTAGAATTATTTATACTGTGGAAATTTGGTCGAATTATTACCATATATAATATCTGATATGATATAAACCGGTTTCGCCATTACTTTAGTAAAGCTGTTAGCACTAAGTAGAGTGATGTTATCAGAACAATATTGTTTCGCTTTTCATTCATTGTGAAATACGTATAATATACTAGTAAGATATCATTTACGAAGTACTCAGATTCAGTTTGGGCATGTATAAGGTAAAGAGATAAGTCTGTTACTTGTAAATACGCTCTCAGTTAGTTCAGTAAATAGTTAATCTGCATAAATCTGAACCCATCCATGGAAATTCCTGTTATAGTTGAAAATAGAACTGAAAAACTGTATAATATTATTGAAGAACTCTTACAGGAATTCTGAGTATTGTTAATGTACAATTACACAATATGAACGTATAGCTGGGAAATCTGAAGAAGTATAATTGTTTTTATATCACACCATCGTTGATTGGACCAAATCCATCGGTCTCTATTGGCTGATGGATTCCACTGATAGCCACGATCCATCATTAACATAATTAGAACGCAGGCAATATCGAGGCATCCTCACAGGAGCCCATATGCCAATAGAGACCGATCAATTCGGTCCAATCAACGACGCTATCATATAAAAACAATTATACTAAAAACTATACCCATCACACAAGAAGTGGCTATCGTGGCTCGGTGGTGTAGTGGATAACGCGCTGGCGTTTGAAGCGATCGCTCCCTAATGTGAATCCCGGTGGGAACAACATCACTCACTGAGGATGCAGTTACATCTATCTGACGAGTCCCAAATAATACGACATGCGCATCCTGGACTTCACTGTCAGCCACGATCTATCATTAATCTGGAGAATTAGTTAACGGAATGAATATTCTTCATCGATTCAAATGTCTTTGAACAATAAAAAGAATACTGAAATTCATCTTATTCTATACAAATCAATCATCACCCAGTATAAATACTAGTCTGTTGAACCACAGCAATCTCAGATAGTCAAAATGATATTCAATATGATGCTTCCCTTAACTCTCTAATTTAGTTAGATTTGGATTCGGATGAGAAGTCCTCACTAGGCAGCCAATGTGATTACGATCAAGAAGTAGTAACGCGTTATAAATTCATGTGGTAGTCGAGGGAACGACTTGATGAGAGAAACGAACTAAAAATTTGGTCAGTAATTGGGCTGCATAGCTCAGTTGATAGAGCATCGAGCCGCAAACTCAACGACCTCTGGTTCGAATCTGACCGCGGTCCAAATTTTCATTTTACCTTCAATCATCACCCAGTAAAAAAATACTATTCTGCTGGACCAAAGCTATCTTAGATAGTCAAAATGATAAATTAAATAAACACATATATTTTGATAGAAGTGTTTTCTAAGGTTATATTTCTGAAGTAATATTCAAATTAATAAGAATACTGATTACTTTATGAGTATTTATACTAATCTGTAATATCTGGTTAATAATTGGTTTGGTATTATCTTTCATCACGTTAACTGGCATTTTTCTTTGTCAGAATCTCATGTCAAACAGTTATACCACACATGATTGAGTTATACTTTCAATCTTATTGAGTATGTGACTATAATCTCCTAATTTTTCATGGTAGTAGTCATTAACTCATCTATTCACTTGTTCCTCTATTTCATTAAAAATTTTCTCAACAACTGAATATCTTTGAAAAAACTCGGTCATTCTAGATTTTTCAATCAATTTTATATCTCTTCAAAATGGATAACTAGATTTTTACTGCAAAATTCTAGTGATAATTAGGCTGGTTATTTGAAAGTTCCTAGAAAAATATTCATACCATGAGCTACAAATTTGCTTTAAGTATATACGCAAAATCAATATGAATTTTTTAACATTAATTTAGAAGTTTATTACTTATTCACTTTTAGCCATTGCCCATCATTACTATACATAGTTAAAAGATAGGTAATATCGAGGCATCCACCTAGGAACCCATACGCTAACAGAGATTGATCATTTCAATCCAATCAACGATGGTGTAATATAAGCAATAATACTAAATTTAGAGGTTTCTTAGGATTTTATTGATTTCAAGTTATTGAGATGAGAAGTGACCGGTGGGAGAAACTCCATTTATGCGTGAAAACAGCTACTCACTGAGAATATTAGATGAAGGTCACGATATATTGCGAACTGATAGAATTCCAAAAAAGAAAATACACACTAATGAATTCCAGCCTAGTGGCCCAACGACAGCGTACTGGCTGTGAAATCAAAAGTTTCTGGGTTCGACCCCCTAGGGGTGAGGAGTTATAAGTGTGCACTGCTTGGAGTCTCACACTAGAATGAAATAGCTATCCAGTACTCCTAGATTCTCAAATAGTTTTCTAGCTAGTGTCAATTCATAATAGATATCAACTTGAAATATTTTTTGTTGAACCTGAAAGAATTATCTTCATCAATTTCATTCTTCATTATTTCTTTAAAATTATTTTAGATAGCAAATATTTCACCTTCAGACTATAATTATGATGAATCATTGAGTACACTAAGATACGCTAATCGAGCTAAAAATATTAAGAATAAAGCTAAAATAAATGAGGATCCAAAAGATGCTATGTTACGTCAATTTCAAAAGGAGATTGAACAATTACGTAAACAATTAGAAGAAGGTAAGTAAACAGTATTTTAAAATGAAAATATTTACTGATAAAAGTGATTCTATCTGAAAGTTTGCAGAAGTTTATTAATTATAATTTTAGATTGGAATACATTATGAACTGATATTAGTTCAAGGAATATTGTAAACGTGAATGTATTTGACAGCATTGTTTCTTTCTAGTATCCTACTCTTCAGGAGTGTTCACCTATGACCCTGTCTGGAGTCGAACCCTGAACCTTCAGCTTTCGTGGTCAGCGTGTTGCTTTTGAACCACTAGGTCGGAATATAAAAAGGATTTATGAAAATAACTTTGTTTTTTATATATAAAAAGGACAAGTTGGGGGGGGTTTCAGGGGAAAAAAATGTTTTCTTTTCGACGAAGTCATTTATTGAGCTATAGATTTGTGAATATATGTTACAGTGGGTAGAATGTTCCAGAATTATTTAAGGTTAGGAGATAAATTATACTGAATAACTAAAGGAAGTTACTACGTATGTCTAGTCACCGATTGCCTCGTCACACAATGTTGGCTGAGGGTGGGTCCAGGCTGGAAAAAGGCCCGAGGTGGCCAGACTAAAACATGGCGGCACCAATGTATGAAGTCTCTCACTGTTGGTTTAAGCCATGTGTGGTGATGCAGACTAGGTGGTTGGGGTCCGCGGGACAAGAGGAACCAGTGGTTGGAGACCCTAGGTGATATGGCTCAGAACCGAAGTCAGTGGCGCAGATGTATACACACATAATCCTCATGTTAACAACGCTATACCGAATCTCACCATTTTGTCACTCCTCTTTCCTTTCTTCTCGTACTTTATATTTGTTTTGACTGCATTCACTTATATTTATCCTTCACCTCACTACCTTTTTACTTGATGTGCTGATATGAGGTGTGGCAACTCGGACCGTTACGCAGTAATGCCTGGTCCTATGTTGATAATAATGATGATGATGATTAGAGTGGGGAAATAGACAACGATTTATGGAAATATATGTATAGTTACCTAATATAGGATGACTCTATGATAGTCAAGGCTTTATGATGCTCATGGCAAAAATTAAGTTAGGATGTACCTTTTTTGAACTCACAACTATGGTTTGAACTTCTAGATGGCTGGTGTCTGTCTTGATATTACTCCCTTCGAGTGGTTTGATCTAACCCTGCAGAGAATTTTGAATGAGCTCTCAGAAGGAGCTAAGTACTTTAAGTTAACGAGGTGTTCTGTTATTGGACTGAAGATGCATTTCCGTCCTCCGATTTTCCTTGCCAGGTTGGGTAGTGTTTGGGGAGCACGTTTTACAAGCAGACGCTTGGTACGGCAGATTTGCTCAGCTCCATAAACTGAAGTAAACTGGTATACACACATTGATATGGCCCAATGTGTCGGCTTGTCTTTCACACATTAACCAAAACGTTTCCTGAAGGAGAAAATAATTGGAAGGTTGGCGGTGGAGTATGTAATATCTAGGGATTTTGATAGTCGTTTCCTGAGGATATCTGCAGCAATATTATTTTTGAATTCAAGATTTAACAACAGAACCTTTTTCGGTGCCAGATGTATTCGTTCATATAGGTTTTATGGCTTTACTTTCTTATCCTATAAATCTGAGCGGGAAACCGTTTTCCGCTAGAGTTCATCGAAGTATTTTCAGTTCTCCGTCAACAGTGTCCTCAGTACATATTTTCTTGATCCTCGAGGAAACTGTATAAATAAGATTTCTTTTTCTGTACAGAGGGATTGAACTTTGGAAATTAATAAACTGTTCGTTCGATGTAGGCTTTCTTCAGATCGATCTACGAAGTGAATTATCGTATTTTCTTTGAGGGTGAACATCAAGAAAATGGAGCGTTGAGTTTGATCTTGATTCTAGAGTGCCGAGTCGAATTGTTAAAAATGTGCTGTTTTCAAAAGAATTGTAACCAATTTACGTTGAACCTTTTGGTGATTCTTCTAACTTGTATGACCATCAAGATGCAGAAATTATTATGTGGTGATATTTAAATCATAATAAATCTGATTATCTGAAATAGCCATGCTTTGGCAGACTTGTACTCATACTGGGTGGTAATTGAAGGTGAAATGAAAACCTAAGCCGCAGCTGGATTTGAATAAGTTACCTTCTAGGCTACCGGCCAGATGGTTTCTGTCGTAAGAGGTTTTATCAGCTGTTTCATTGAAAACTTAAAGCGAAAAGTATGACATGTACTTCTTATGAACCTGTATTCAGATATAGAGATATGAACATGTGGAAAGATGGTTTGACTAAACTTTGTATCCTGAAGTATTCAAAGCAGTGAAAACCAGCACCAATGATAAGAAAAATAGAGGTGACATTATTCATGTTATATAGTATGCAATACAAGGCAGTAAAAACAGTTTCATTACACGTGTTAGACTAATTTGGTTGGTCGTGACTAGCAGATGAACCCAGGACACACGTTTCGTCCTATTTGAGACTCGTCAGTTGGATGTGCCTACACCCCAGTGAGTGGTGTTGTCTCCCCTGTGACTCAAACCTCGTAACCATCTTTTCAAACCCCAAGGCGTTATCCATTATGCCATGGAAGCACGATAGCCACTTCTTGTTAGACTAATATTTAAAATATTAGCAAGAAGACTACGTGAGGTGTACAATAACATAGCAATTCTAGAGTTGTAATCATCTATTTTTGTGGGGTACAAAATTTATTTAAGTACAGAGCATTCATAAACATTGGATTTCGGATCTTCCCCCTATTTTTAAAGAATAAATGATTTCATTAGATTGTTCTCGTAATTTGTTGTTCTATGAATTGAATAACTCAGAGAATCAGATGTCTTCAAAGAAATATATTCAAATTGCTTTTTAAGGTGGTATACCTTCTGATCCTACGAATGCAGAAGATGGAGAAGGTGATGCTGATGAAGATGACGATGACGTAATAGTTGGCCCTGATGGTCAAGAAAGAAGGGTAAATAAATCAAAACAGAGTAGTAAAAAGTTAAGCAAACAAAAGATGGCTGAAATTCAACGTATGATTGAAGCTGATAGACGTAAATTAGAAGAACAAAAGATATGGCTTTAGAAGAACGAAATCGTGTTCAGGTAAGAGTAAAGTTATTAAGATTGCTGATGAGATTATTTAAGATGGCTGTGGTTTAGTAGAGTACTACTACTACTACTACCACTCACACTACTCTAACAACAACAACTACTACTACCACTGAGATGTAGAGTTGGTGTAGACGGAATTGAAAACCTTGATTGTAGCCCCATCCGAACCAATCTTATACTTTACCAGCTGATCTACGAGACCAAACTGCTGACTAAATCTTAAGCTATGAGACAATTTCCAAGGACACTACTTAACGTCTCGTATACATTTGTACTGATTTCCTTTGCTTACCGATAATCATTCTAATAACTTAGAGTTACGTAAATTTTCTCAAATTCGTAATGCAAAGAAGTGAAACATAAAAAAATATGGTATTTTTCTGAAGTTCTCATAAGTTGAATACTGTTAGATAGAGTTTAACTAGAAACTGAATATTTCTGTTATATCCTTTTACTGTAGTGAAGTTTTCTACATACTACACTATTGTGTTAACCTATTTTACAGGCAGTCTCAGCAATACAACTGCACTTAAATACACTTGTAATGTTTTCAATTTTAAATGTACTTGAAAATACGTTTTAATAATTAAATTTTGGAAACGCTCAGGGCATTGAAAAAGTAAAAGCATATTGTTTATAGATCTCATAATGAACTTATCCTATTAAGTAGAAACAAATAACAGACTTCTAAGACAATAATTCTTGATGAGAGTACAAAAACATTGACCATCTTATTCTATCTAATCTAATTGGTTACATTAATGATCATCACTATTAGCCTTTTATACCTGTCAAATGTAAGGTGATACTTCGGGACTGGTCTATTCCAAGTACTCCCAGGTTAAGGATAAGAAGTGAAATTGTGGAATGTGCCGACTACTTCACTTACTTGGGGAGTTGCGTTACCCCAAACAAGCTGGTTGCTTACAAAATCTCAATTCAGCTACAGAAGGCCTGTTTGGCATTTGCCAACTTGGATCATCTGAGGCACAGATTGGTAAGATACCCGACTATCTACTAAAGGACGAGTATACTGCACTGCAGTTCGTTTTGTCCCACCATAGAGCCCTCAAATATGACTGTTAAAGGTAGAAGACTTGAAGTGATTACAGAGTTTTTTTTCACTCATGTCTTCGTAGCATTGCTAGCGTCTGATGGAATCACCGTGTGAGCGACTTTAAGGTGAGGCATGGGATGCTATGCAAGATAGGCAAGTTGATTGATTCGGTTGAGATGGTTTAGGCATGTGCTGTGCACTCCGAGCCACCTCCTACCTTGGTGTGTTATGTCAGGGAAAGTTTAATTAGACCGGAGGAGGGTTCAGGGTGCCCATACCAAGACGTAGCATCATTCGATAAAGTCCCTGACTGTTAGTGCGAGGTGTATGGACAGATATAAACTATCTGGATGGAGTCCGAGAGATGATAAGAATCATTAGTTAAGGAATCCTGATGACATCGTAGAAAATCAGTCAGATTGGCTCAGATGTATTCACTCTTTGACATCTTCTAAAGCTTAATTATTCACGCTAAACTTTATCTTCAGATTATTTACTCTGTCACACAACTTTGTCTACTTTGATATCACTCTTTTTCTGTACACCTGTTATTTGTATACCACTGTGAAATGTGGTAAGTGTTGATCTTGTTTGTCTGTGTGTATTATTGGCGGATAATACCCCTCATAACCTATCTAATTATATGGTGATTATAAGGCATAAAAATACAGAAAACAGTTACTACTTGAAATGAATTTCAGTAGGCTTCTTTTGAGACAAGAAATCCCGAAAAAGAATAGTTAAAAAACCATACACCTTACATCTACAAATTTTGTACCTATAGACATATTAGCAGAGATTCCAACTTCCTTTGGAATGTTAGTATGCATGTATTACTTTGAAAGTGTTCAGCCTACAAATATGTGATAAATGATCATTTAGCAAAAATATATTTTGTTACTGGGTGATGATTGAAGGTGAAGTGAAAGTTTTAACCGCCGTCGGATTCGAACCAATGAGTCACGAATTCATATGGTAGTTGGCCAAAACCCTTGGTAACTGAAGTGAAATAAAGATGTGATCGGAGGTTGGATTTCGTAGCTTAACTGGTATAGTATCGACCCAGAAACCCGATGGCCACTCGTTCGAATCCAGCCGCGGCCGAAATTTTCATTTCATCTTCAATCATCACTCTGTATCAATACGAATCTGTCAAACCACGAGTATCTCAGTTAGTAGAAAATGAAAAAAATATCTCAAGTTGTTATTCATCGAAGACTGGCATCAGTTGGAGGAACAAAGGAAACCTGGGAGCACTGGACAGCTGTTTCGTCCTAGTATGGGACTCCTCAGCAGTGCGCACCCACGACCCCACACCAGCAGGGATCGAACCCATGACCTTCAGATTCCGCGGCCAGCGCGTTACCATTGAGCTATCCACTGGGTCAGAATCCAATGTTCCATATTTCCAACTTCTGTTAGCTCACGATATAGCGCAAACCGCCACCCAATGTCATCGTTGAGTATTTGTCCTCACGGCCATCAGGCTTTGACTCCACCGGTCAGGACTTGTCATTGGAATTTTGGGAATACTTCTCGAAGCTAGTCACCAATGAGCACTAGTTCAATTAAATTTTGAGGGAGTTGTGGAGATTTGGAAATATTTCAAGTTGTTATTCATCGAAGACTGACATCAGTTGCTGGTGGGGTCGTGGGTGCGCACTGCTGAGGAGTCCCATACTAGGACAAAACAGCTGTCCAGTGCTCCCAGGTTTCCTTTGTTCCTCCAACTGATGTCAGTCTTCGATGAATAACAACTTGAAATAATTCCAAATCTCCACAACCCCTCAAAAAAAATATCTCCTGAAAATGTTTTTCTTTAGAATTAAAATGGTGTAGTGTTTGAAGTCTCAAGAAAATAATAATGTAATATTTCGATTTTACACAATTGAATTTATAAAATGCGTCAGAACAACTAGACGATTATTATGACAGATAGGAGGGTAATCATAAACAAAGCCAGCTAACAAATCCATAACGAAATCTATTTAGATCATGTTGTTAGATGGATTTTTACTGCATTACAGTTTAGATGTTTTCAGTCAGATTATCAAACGGATATGTTAATGATGGATCGTGGCTAGCAGTGAAATCCAGGATGCGCATTTTGTCCTATTTGGGACTTGTCAACGTCCAATATAGTCATCTCCATCATTAACATAATTAGATTGCTGGCAATATCGAGGCATCCTCACAGAAGCCCATATGCCAATAGAGACCGATCAGTTCGGTCCGAACAACGACGGTATCATATAAAAACAATTATACTAAAAGCTATACCCGTCACACAAGAAGTGGCTATCGTAGCTCGGTGGTGTAGTGGATAACGCACTGGCGTTTGAAGCAATCGCTCTCTAATGTGAATCCCGGTGGAAACAACATCACTCACTCGGGATGCAAATACATCTATCTGACGAGTCCCAAATAATACGACATGCGCATCCTGGACTTCACTGCTAGCCACGACCCATCATTGACATAATTAGATTGCTAGCAATACCGAGGCATCCTCAAAGGAGCCCATATGCTAATAGGGATCGATCAATTAGATCCAATCAACGACGGTATCATATAAAAAACGGATAGTTGTCCAAATGAAGTAATAAATACTCGAAAATGTGAAACAATTTTATTCCTTTTATAAGTTTTAACAAAAAAAAAATGAGGAAAAGTAGTTTATTTTAAGGTTTATGCGTTTTTTATTTATTTCAAGGTAATATTTGTCATGAACTGACATCATTTGGAGAACCACTGAAAAATTGAGAGTACTGGATAATTGTTTCACTCAATTATCTGATGTTTCTACGATTGGTTGGATCAGCTGTTCAACTCTACCAAGTTTTCAATAGTTCCCTAACTGATGTCAGTTTAGGATGAATACTACCTTAAATCTAAAGTCTTCTTTAACCTCAAAGTAAATAATTGTGTCTTGTTTAATCGTTCAAATAGACAACAAGTATAGGAAGTGTATTAGATGTAAGGTTGCAATTTGATGGGCACATGATTTGTTTTACCTGAAGCCAGCCAGCCAGCCAGCCAGAGTGTTCTAGTCGTAAGTTTGAATTCAGAGCATTGAAATTTAGTCTCTACAGTATGATACGGCTCAGTATTTTGTTTGGGATGGACAGGAGCATGAGTGTAATACAATGCACTCAATACTGATGATTGAAGGTGATTGTTTTTGAAATAATGTAGAATATTTGTAGCTCACTTGGATGGTCTTAGTTGTTTTCTGTTTTCTGAGTTGGATGTTTTGATTGTGAAGCTTTCATTGTCATTCTAGACAATGTCATTAGAATTTCATATTGAACTTAGTGCTGAAGATATAGGGTCAATCAGTCAGAAGTGAGGTGGATGGTAACTGTGAAGGCTTTGGATGATGGTCAATTTATATCATGAATTGACGGAAGTATTGAACTCTAAGCCAGTGGCAGAATGGTTAACGTATTCATTGGGAAACCTGTAGGTTCTGATTTAGATCCTTTAAGAGTAGTGTGTGAGTACTGCTGAGGAGTTTCATTTTCGGATGAAACACTTATCCACTGCTTCCGTATTCTCTATGTTTCTCCAACTATTGTCAACTTAAGATTAATACTGTATTGATTAATCACGGGAGTGCAACCAATTTCATGTTGTTTAGTCCTGAGTGCAGACCGAATTCTATCTATCATATTTACAATGTGGCAAACAAGCTAGGAAGCTCAGCATCTCAGTGCACGTTAGTAGTCACTGACTACAACAATCTCAGGCGGGACATCAGTTCCGTCGAGGCTGCAGATACGCCTTGCTGACGTGTGCCAAAAAGCACTAAACCTAGGTCGTACAGGGCTTCCTGCCGATTGCCTCCAACCAACTAAGATGAATACTGCCTTGAAAATGTAACAAATTTCTAACAATCTGATCTTAAACATATTTGATCTTCTTTGGGAAATCTAGTGTTTTTTTGTTTAATTCATCTTCATTGGTATTTTGACCTACAATATAGTCTTGCCATTTGACTGATGTTCACTGTCTTACTCGTTAACTTTTTAATTTTTAATGCCGGTGACAAGGATGGGCATACGAAATGTGTTGCTTACATACATTACACAATCCAGACAACTTACAACGTCTTCTTATTATTTTATTGAAATAAATTTCTAACCAATATGATGATGTACATCACATGTTTAACGTTTTTGCGAACTTTTTATGTTCCAAAAGGCTTATAATTTCTGTGTATCAATGTTATTTAACTTATCAGAATAATCTGTAGATTACTACACACAAAAGTCTTTGTGAAAGAAGCATGAAGACAGTTACGAAGGTAAGAAAGTTAATTGTAAGCAAGTGGGACGGTAGTCATTCAATATGGTACACCTTGCACTAAGACCGTGATTTGCAAAATATACTTCATTTCCTCTTCCGTTTTTTCTTGATATGCTGTTCATACGCCTGTCTTTTCTCTTGTGTTTCTCTTGGCGGAATCCTTACCCAATGCTGGTAATTCCCTATGATTTCTGCCACCCTCTCAACATATACTACTTATATCCATTGTGATCAGCAACTCCTACTACACTTGTGCACTCTTGAAAAAAAAAGCAAAAGTCCAAGCAAATGTTAGATGGAGTTAATGTTTACCAGACAACTTTTTTGAACATGTAGTGAACAATACTAGCCTCTGACAATTTCAGTCACTATTTTCAAGCAATATCGACAAGCCAATCGAATATCACACATTTTAAAAATGCTTGAAATGAATTACGTACACTATGATCTCAGATTCCAAATTACATACTATGGTAGTCGAATATTGCGACTTAATTTATCTTTTGTTAGTGAGAAATTTCGGGAAGCAAAAGAAGCACAGAATTTAACCAAAATAATAATATTAGAAGTGATACAATAAGTTTATCTTCAGAAGTGGGGAAATTCTTTAGAAATAAGAACAGATAAGGAAAACATAATGAGCATAAATCTATACGAATTAAGATTCATAAAATGCAACAGTTCAATAACTGACGAAATATACCCATTTATTGATGAATAAGAACAAGACATGTATCCACAAAGAAGAAGCATTTCTTTTCAACAACTTCATTGTAAAGCTGTATAGTCGTATACAGTCGTATACTCGGTAAAGTGACAGATAATTACACTAAAACGTTGCTCAGTCAATATTACAAAATATAAAATAGGTGTAGATGGTGGGATTTGTTCAAGTGGAAGAAATAGAAAATGGGTCACTGAATGACAAATGGTGAGATAAGAGACAAGTGTTGTCAATGAATTGTAAAACGGTGATAATTTAGTTGACACATGGAAAACAGGTCAATGAATAAGGAGTGAATTGATATTAAATAGTAGTGAAATATGGGTTCAAATGTTGTCAATGAAATGAAAATTGGTGATAATGATGATAATAGAAGAGAAGTATACTAGAGGGAAGCGAAGTGAAATGAAATTGACAAGGCCAAAGGTAGAGGAAGTGGTTTCACAAAACGTTTTTGAATGCAAAGTTTCGGTTATTGTTCATGTATAGCTAAAGCTTCAGCTATACATAAGTGGTGGAAACGTAAACCTTTGGAGTAGTTCAATTTAACTTTGTAAATTATTTTAAAGCATGAATGTCGAGGTGCTCAGTGACCTAATTCAACAGTGTTCACATATGGATGAAGTCGTTTTCCTTTGCTCGCCTTTGGTAAGCCAAAGCGGGTAGTGTTCAACAACACGTCCAATATAGTCAGCTGCACGGGAGCATGTGAATTTGTAGATACACACAGATGTGGACATAAGTGGAAGTCTATCCCTCACACATTGACGAATCAGATGGCGGTTTACGTTTCCACCACTTATGTATAGCTGAAGCTTTAGCTATACATGAACAATAACCGAAACTTTGCATTCAAAAACGTTTTGTTAAACCACTGCCTCTACCTTTGGCCTTGTCAATTTCATTTCACTTCGCTTCCCTATGGTATACTTCTCATCATCATTATCACCAATTTTAGCTTCAATGACAACATTTGAACCCATATTTCACTACTATTTAATATCAATTCACTCCTTATTCATTGACCTATTTTCCATGTGTCAACTAAATTATCACCGTTTTACAATTCATTGACAACACTTGTCTCTTATCTCACCACTTGTCATTCAGTGACCCATTTTCTATTTCTTCCACTTGAACAAATCCCACCATCTACACACCTATTGTATATTTTGTAATATTGACTGAGCAACGTTTTAGTGTAATTATCTGTCACTTTACCGAGTATACGACTGTATACGACTATACAGCTATATAATGAAGTTGTTGAAAAGAAATGCTTCTTCTTTGTGGATACATGTCTTGTTCTTATTCAATGACTATGTAAATATTCTTACATTACGTTACATCTTACTTGAAATGGATTCTCAGAATATCTTGACCGAAATAAGAAGCATAGTTAGGAAATTATTGAAGCATGATATTTCCTTGTCGTAAATGGAATTGATGTAATGAAATCTGAATATATAAATCCTTATCCCTTGTTCATTATACTTATGGAATAGGCTTAAGAAACCTTTCAATGAAAACACTAGAAGCCAGTTAAATCGTAAAATAGGTAAAACCTTAATGAGTATATATTTTGATTAACTTCTGCCCCCCGAAAAATGTCTTACTTTCAGACACAATATATATGTGTTATCTTCAATATGATTTAGCAACATCTTGAAACTAAAGAAAATGAATTAAAACAAGCTAAAGAAATTCGTAATAATCTAATGAAACGAATGGAAGCCTTACAAAGTCGAATAATTGTTGGTGGTGAAAATTTATTAGAGAAAGCTGAAGCACAAGAAAAACTCTTAGAACAATCAGCAAGTGAATTACAAAAGCAACAATTACGTGCTGAACAATTAAATGAAAAATTAAAAGCAAAAGAAGAGGAACGTATAAATATTGAAGAGAAATATAATAATTTACAAGTAAATTTATTGATTGTACTTTCTAATAACAATTAGGATACTTTCTATCAGACTGCTCAAACTTCTAAAAGTTGAATGGGATTCGAACTCTTAGCTGACTTTATGCATTTAGATTCCTTGATTATGATTATATTATTTTATCTCACTAACATTCTTCAGCTGCAAACAATTTAATAGTACAGTGGTTGTTAGCATGTAAGGTATCTTAAAACTAGGTAGTCAGTAACCATTAAGTTGTACAACAAGATTACTGATAATCCATATAATATGTAAAAGAATTAATTTTACAGAGGTAAGAAGTGTAAGAAAGGGAAACGTAGGAGCACTGGACAGCCGTTTCGTCCCAGTGTGGGACTTCTCAGCAGTGGACATCCACTAACCCATTAGGGATCGAACCCAGGTTCCGCAACCAACACTTTACCATTGAGGCACTAGGTCGGAGTCCATTGATTCATATTTTCAACTTCTATCAGTTCACGATATAGCGCAACTTAAATTCAATGTCGTCGTTCAGTTACTATCCTCACGTTCGACTTGGTTAGCTCCACTGATTACGACTTCTTATTGGAACTTTGGCTATCTTGTCAAACTCCCGAAGAGGAGAGACCTAAGTCTTTGCAAGAACTGGCGCAGAATCACTCTCCTGTCCACTCCAAGCAAAATATTAGGCTGCATCATCCTGGAGAGACTAAAGGATGCGCTCAATTCGGAACTACGACCCGAACAGGCTGGCTGGATTCAGGAAGTACAAACCATGTGCGGACCAAATTTCAACGGTTTGCATCATCATAGGACAGAGTATAGAATGGCAGTCAACCCTCTACCTCAGCTTCGTCGGTTGTGAAAAGGCCTTCGATAGCGTCAACCGACAAGTAATTTGGCAGTTGCTTCAACACAACGGGGTACCACAAACCTTTATCAATCTCATTTAACAGCTATATGAAGACGCCACATGCGAAGTAATTCACAATGGGAAGCTCAGTGATGCCTTTGAAGTGAAGAAAGGAGTAAAACAAGGATGTCTACTATCACCGATGATATTCATGACTGTAGTGGACTGGATCATGGAGCGAGAAGAGGGGGATACTCTGGACCGGACTAAAAAGATTCTAGAAGATTTGGATTTCGCCAATGATGACTTGTGTCTAATATCGCACAGACTTGAAGATCTACAGGCGAAAACTAACAAGTTGACAGAAGAGGCAGCGAGGGAAGACGGGACTTCAAGTAGATATAGAGAAGACAGAGGTGATGAAGATACCCAACCACCACCACCACCACCAACAACAAGAAGCTTCAATCACCATCAACGGGAGAAACCTATAGGAAGTAGCCTCTTTCACCTATCCAGGCAGGCGGCACTGTTTCAACTACAGGCAGCACAGACAAGGACGTCAAAGCCAGGATCAAAAGACAGCGAGACAGGCGTTCATTAACCTGAAACCAGTGTGAAGATCAACTGCACTGCACTCAGCATGTGGAACAAGATCCGGATTTTCAACATTAACGTCAGTCAAGTCAGTACTTCTATGGGATTTTTGAGAGACTTGGCGCGTTACGACAGGCATTTCCAACAAACTACAGACATTCATCAACAACTGCCTACGCTGGCTCGTTACTGAAGAACAGATGGCCAGAAAGAATAAGCAAAAAAGAGTTCTGGCTGGTGACGAACCAACCAACAACCTATCGCTCAACAAATATGCAGAAGGAAGTGGAGATAGATTGGACTGGGCATGCACTGAGAAGACCATTCGGGGAAATCGCGCGCCAGCCACTCGTTTGGAACCCAGATGGGAAACGACAAGTTGGGCGTTCGAGGTGAGGGTGGCATGGAAGAGATCGTGTGGGGAAGAAATGGGAGCTTGTGGGCTGTCATGGAGCCAGGTTCAAATATTTGCAGAGAAGAGAGTGGAATGGAGACGTGCTACTGAAGCTCTACGTTCCACTAGGAACCCAAGGGACGAATAATAATAATAAATTGGAACTTTGGCGATCACTTCCAGAAGGTAGTCACTAATGAGCATGCTGTTGACAATGCGACAACTGTCCAGTGTTCTCAGATGTCCAATGTTTCTTCAACTGATTTCAGTTCATGATGAATTCTAACCTAAAATCAATAAGTTACTCAATAAAAAGTCAGGCAATTAAAATGAGAATGAAACGGTAAAAATATCATATTTTCAAGGAAGTGAGAGATTAATCACAGTCTCCTTCTGTATGTAAAGGTCAGGTTGAAAGGGTTTTATTGCAATCACTTTCACAGAATGCAGTAATCGATACTTTTGCTGAAAGCTTTTCATTTTAAAGGGACTTAAAGTTTAAACCTGATATTCTGTGTCTACAAGGTATCTGGGAATTGAAGTGGTAAAAGTTGAACTTTCTTTCAAGCACCAATTCTTGGATATATGCTCAATGAAGTGAATGGATATCCTCCTGTCAGTACTTATCAGTTTACTCACTGCCTCAAGTGCATGTGAGTTCATAAATTCAGTTGAAGGTATGATGAACAGGGTAATTGTCCAGTTTGAACTGTTTCATTGAACATGCAATATCGTATACTTTTACCAATTAAGCTGCCAGGCAACCTTCTTCACATTAATCCCTTATGATTTTTGTGTCTATTCTCTGTGATAGGCAAGTTGTATCAGGAGGTCGTACTTGTGAAATTGGTGTATATTTCATGTAAGATCTATCGCATGAGGAATATATCAATCTATTGGCGCTATATATATATCATAGAAATGTTTTCGATTACGTCCCTAGACAAATTCTTGGCGTTCGACAATGTGCATTAGCTATTAGTTTGTAGTAAAATGAATTATTAATGCATCATTAATGTATATCAGAATGACCAGTTTTCAAGTAGGTTTTCCTAAGTTCCAAAACAAAATCTAAGGCAAACTTAGTACAAGCGTTTTACTCAGCAGTTTTATTCTTAATTGCAATTCACACTCATGTAAACATTTCTATCTACTATTGGTTCGCCCAAAAATGTAACCAAATTCAGGCACTTTCAATAATTCACTTGTCTGACTTCAGTCGTTTTGAATATGTCCCTGACATAATGAAACGTACACAATTGCAATTCGAACCCAGTGTTTATACTACAGCCGACCACCTTAACGAACACTTTCAACCACTTTAAGTGGTTTTTCACTACTCATGCTTATCAAGTAGCATTTATTTTACTGCCGACAACCTCAAAAGCCTATTGAATAAATACTCATCGTCAGTAAACTTCATATATAAATTTACTATCAAATAAATATATGCAGACTCTAAAGTTAAAAGAAATTGTACACGAATCCAGTCCACTTTTACAATAACTACAGACAAAGAGAAAACCAGTCTAAGACTTCACATCAAAAAGATTTACGAGTGTTTGAATACAACTTACCTTGTGCGATATTCTCCCTCTAAGAATATCTAGGAGCTAGGTGAAGGTAAATGACATCAAATTTTTCCCAGTTACCTAACCGTCAGAACTAAAGATAAAATTCAATTCATCATACTGACAACCCACAGCATACAAAGTAAATAACATGACTCAAAGTTTTACTATTTGTACTTTTTGGAGTTGATTGTAATGATACTTGTAATTTTCTGTTGCTATACTGGGCTGAATTGCTCAACCTCAGTTTACAGATGGGCTAATATGCGGATGCCTCAATACTGCCGAGTATTCATTAAGTTATGTGGGTTTTGGGACTAGCAGAGGAATCCAGAACGCGCGTTTCATCCGAATAGGGGCCTATCTACCAGCAGAGATCGAGCAATTCAGCCCTGTATAGCAACGGGAAATTACAGGTACCGTTACAACAACTGGCACCCATTGCACAAGAGGTGGGTATCGTACCTCAGTGGCTTAGCAGATAACGCTCTGGGACTTGAAACGAAAGGTACTGGGTTGGAATAACATCACTCACTTGGGTGTAGGTACATCCAGCTGACGAGTCCTAAATAGGACGAAAGGCGCATCTTGAATTCTAATAGTCACGAAGATCAATACTAGGATTGATTTTTGATGTAAACTTTGAAGCAAATTAAGTTCATGTTGTTTTTAGTTGTTACCTTTTAAATTATCATTACTACTACTACTACTACCTAGGAAGAAGCCGCTGGGAAGCGTAGAAAACTGCGTAAACTAAGCACAATGTACTTACAAGCTAAATCTGAACTTGAAGATCTCAAGAATGAACATGTTCGTGAAATGGAAGGTTTACTGGACAATATACGTCAACTCGGAAGGGAACTAGCGCATAATGCATTGATTATCGACAGATTTATTCCTCAACCGTATCAGGTAATTTGTAAGTGTCAATATTTTACTTTGTAATTTCCAAAGAAATTTTCATGCAAAAAAATATTCATAGATTCGTTTTGGTTACTTGCATAGTATTGTTCGAAAGCTGTGAAGTCTGTAGATGAAAACATATTTTTCAAAATTATCTGAAAATCGATGCTTGTGGTGTCATTTTAACACAAGAAATGATTTATAGGTCATGAAAAGGGATCAATCTATTTGGCAACGTCTGAGAGTTGGTATTTGGTCACAAACCTTTCATTTACAAAATCGATTGCCTGCTTTTAGTCAGTGGAACACTATTACCTACTGGATAGTGTTTTGGACATAATTTATTGTCCATATTCATATTATGTTATGATTTGGACAACAAATTATGTCCGAAATGTTATCCAGTAAATAATAATGTTCCACTGGATGACATTTCTAATAAACGGACTAAGATAGAATAACAGTCTACAACAGTGTGCATGTTTTACTTCTGTATCGATTGCCTTCTATGTGTATGTAGTATGTATATGTAGTTATTTTCAATTAAAACTTAATAATGAACTCAGTTGAGCATTATAAGCTTTCTAAACTAAAAGAAGAAATACAGAAATAAAAGTGCAGAACTGATATTTCTTGTAAGCTGTATAGAATTCAATTCACTCTACTACATCCCTTGCCACTGAACCTACTACTTTACAACATTGAACACCGTTTAAATTATTTTGGATTTAAACCTCAACCCAACTGCACAGTTCGGGTTTGACGAATAGTTTTATTCACTACACAATTTTTGTCGTTCGAAACCCATAGGACATTGCTGAATCGCATCTATTCATATGATTTCCAATGAATCACGATAGAATTACAGGAGGAAATAATTCCATTACTTGAAACTAGTGCTCACTTACATATGACTACTACTTTAGTTTAGTAAGGTTAGAAAACAGCCTGTCCGCGTTGTGTGTCCGTAACATGTCTTTGACAAAACTCTCATTGACTAACTTTTAGAATACCTTTGATGTACGATTTGCTCAAGTATCTTCTTAGCTATCAAGAGTGTTCTTTTTAAGTAGAAATGACTATAACTAGTTTCTAAAATGACTGTCATTTGCTACAATCCAACTTTATTAAAATCATTAGTCAGGAGATGAGCTTTTTAAGCAACAGAACTGTAAATGGGTCATAGATATTCTGACGATAGTTAAGTAAAATATCGCAACACTTCAAAGCAGAGATTCACTGAGTACTGAGTCAAAACCTGAAACTGTATTGAATAGAAATCATAACATTTATCTATAAAAACATACCAAATTCTCATCTCATTAAAAGGCACTTATCCAGCAGAATGTACAATGGAATGAAGAAATAGGCGAGTGGCAGCTCAAATGCATAGCATACACTGGAAACAATATGCGAAAACCAGAAAAGGAAACACCAGAACCTGTAAGTCTTGCAGTTTTATTTGTTTTATATGACAGTTTAGTGAATAAGGAAAATGATAGTTGGTACAGTTCAAAAAGTGACAGAATATATATCAGCTGCAAACATGAGACAAGGTAACCTTACTTCTGTGAATATTTCGTTGTCAGAGTAAGAAGAGATGGGGCTCTAAAGCTGTAGCTTAACTCATCGCACTATTAACTGGTTTCTATGAGGTTATCGCTCCCCTAGACTTAACTGTCTGCCCTCAACAAACTCCATATGTACATTCTTTAACAATGAGTGTTCAAATGTCGTTTGTCTGATGGATTCTTGGTTAAATATATAAGACAGGAATTTCTCAGAATGGGAAAGAAATCTTTAGCAACCTGATTATCGTAATTGTGGGAATAGGATATAAGAGGAGTTTCCGGTATCAGGAAATTTAGGTCTGAATTACTTAGAATCAGTGAAAACGAATATATTTCTTAGTCTGTCTAATTGTCCACGGCAAACAACTTTGCACTTGCAAGGGGATAACCTACGTATAAGGATCGTCGTGAAAACCTAGCCTAGTTTAAAAATGTAAGTCGTATCCCAATGGCCGTAATTTTTGTACAACAAACTCTCAAAGTTACTAGTCATGTCACAAGCTAGAAGACTGAATGACAGCAATGCACGATTATTGCTTACTGATGCAAAGAAGAAATCAAGACCGATATGAAATAAGTTCCTTGTGATAACAAGCCCAACAACGAAGAAACTAGTTAAGACCGAAATGCCTACTACAGGAATAACACTATGCCGAGAAATTGTCTAGGATATACTTCTGAAAGCAGTGGGAAGCCTTGGAGATGAAATTCCAGCACAGGTGGCATAAAGTGCATTAGAACCCTCACGATGAAGAGGGGGGCTACATTTACTGTGGTCTCAAGGGTCTCCCCAATAAAAAACGATCGGAATGCAGTGACAGATCACATCAGTAACAGATACATATTTATGGGAGCTAAATTCACCACAAGACCTGCGTTCGTGAGCCAAAAAACGTATCTGAGGGGCGAAACCAAACCGTTCCGATTTGTCTCTGCGTGTGATGTAATCTTAATAACTCCATTTTAGTTTGGTATCGAACCATACGCTTATGAAAACTATCGCTTCCACACTTACATCTTGTTCTTAAGACTTGTTCTCAAGACTGCTGGGATCTTTAGATACCAGAATCAAAACTATTGTATCACATGACCCATTGGTAGAAGTTTCAGCAGTTCCCGTTGTCGAAACTCGGTTATTTCAAAGCCTCACGTTTTTGTGTCACTGCTAGATAATGCCTCCTTCATTTTCATAATCTACCAAGGGCTAGTCGAGATTACTTAATACATCAAATCTAGTAACTGGGCGTAGTCATGATTTATGACTGTGAAACGACAGGCCTACTGACCACAGACTAGTCTCGGAACTACTCTAGTGAAAGGAATATGAAGGTTTACACCAGCACCAGTAGCGTGGATGAAGTGTGCGGTTAGAACCGACGTGAAACCCAGCATTATTGCATCATGATCCAGGGTGCCTCACCTTAACGTAACAGATGGGAAAAAAAGGAAGAAAGTAGTAGAAATGGTAGAACCTCACGAAAAGATAGGAAAATGGTTGAATTCAGCACGTTCATCAGGATAAAGATCTAGGGATGTAGCTGCACAACTAAGGTTTCGGGATGCATCATGCAGTCTCCAGCTACCGACCTCGGCGGTCACACAGATCGAAACCGGGAAATTCGCAGTTCTGTACACGACTCAGACCAACACTCAAGGACTTCATGTACCAGTTTCACGTTTTGGTTGGACCTCTTATAACTTCAGCTAACATTAGTTGATGAGACGGA